GGATTATTAAGTCTAAAATATATTATAAATCCTTTTCAAAAAAATTTTAAAATTTTCTTATACTGTTACTATTTATACATTATTATGTATATTATGTACAAGTAAATAATAACAAAGAAAATTTTAACAATAGAATAGAAATGAAAATTTTGTATGTATATATATATATATCTGTTAAAAAATATATTTAATTTTAATAAAGAATATTTTTTTTTTATTTATTGTATAGAATTAGTTTTTTTTTTTGAGAATATATTTGAATAGTATTTTTTGTTCCATCATTTTCAAAAAATGTTATACATATACATTATTATTTATAGCTGTTCTACAAAAAATTTAGAAAAAAATCTAAGAGAATTCTTATAATGAAATTCTATTTTTACAATAGATAATGGATTATACAATTTTTAAGAGTTTTTTTTTTCTATATTTAATATGTAATAACATCTCTACCTCAATTGAAATCTAAGTAATTTGTAAATAAATTATAAAAGTACATTAGCATGAACAAAAAACAAAATAAAAAAATTAAAGTACTTATAATATTATTGTTACAATCAAAATTATTATTCTAAGTCTTATTTGATTTTAAGTTCAATTCTTTTATATAACAGTAATGAAAAACAATTCTATTGAATGCTTTTTAGAGCATTGTCAAAATAATTGTATTATAACATATGAAATCTACACCAAAAATTAAAAAATTAAAATATTACATTAATTTGATTATGTTACTAAATAAGTCAAGTTGACGTTATTATCGAAATGTAAATTTTAACAGATGACCCATATTTAAATTTACTAACTAATATTACAAAAAAAATAATCTATACATATGTATATTAAGTACAATTCATACTTTCCTAATAATATAAAAATAGTTCGTAGTTCGTTTTAGTTTTTGTAATTCAATTGTAAGTTTAAGTGAGTCTTGAATTTTAGACTCTTTTACTTATTTTAATTTAAGGAGACACTATATGTATGTAAAATATACAAGCATATATAAATATAGTAAAACAAGTATAAGAAAAACAAATAAAAATTTCCATATCTACTATCACTAATCTACTATAGTGTTATACTATAATACTAAATATATTACAGTAGATATAATACACGAAACGCGAAATTTGATTAGAGGGTCGAAAATGGATAAAGCTTTTGTTCCGGAGTAGGTGCGAAATCTCAAGGGTTTTCCAGATACAGGGATTTTAACGAATTTTCACGAAATTTCTAGTTATCTAAGATTTTTTGATTATAACTTCCGTTCCGAAAACGATAAGGGCTTCGTTGCATAGCTTTCTGAATCACCCTATATAACTGTAGTATATACGAGAATATATAAGTCAAATTACTTTCGTTTACTTGATTTTAATTTGTACATTTTTATAGACAGAAAATGTTCTTTCAACTTTACCTGAAATCAATAGGGTCACATTAAAAGACTAATATTATTTATAATGTTTGATCAAATTGAAAAAATCTAACTGTTACATAAAATTGATATTAAATTAAAGAACTATTATAACACAATTTTATATTATTATTTTAATATCTAAATTTCATAAGCAGTAAATACGTTTTTACCTTTAAATTAATCAGTTCTGTATTAACAGCAAAAAATATATTTAATACATAAATTCAAGAACTAAGTATACAGAAATAAAATGAAAAAATCCAAATGCTTATATTTCTGGAAGTACATGAATAACTACATACATAATGCCGTATCTTAATTGTAAGTCCTCTATAAGCCGCTCGAAAATTGCTTGTTAAAAAAATTTTTTTTTTCGTTAAATTCCTGTATCTTGCAAATTGTGAGATTTGGCCCATGAAAATAAGTCTTATCTATTTTCGATCGTACAATTTATGATATGTGCTATTGCAAATCTTTCTGTAAATCACACTGTAAGTTTAAATTGCACATTAAAAGTTAACAATTATAAAATATGCATTTTAAATTTCATTCAAATATTATTTGCCACTGTTCGCTTCATAATTTAAAATTAGATAATATACGCTTTATAATATTTCTTGAAAATGAGTACATCTATTAACCTATACACGCATTTCTTTTCTGTTCACATTCTACGTATATATAGGATTAAAATTTTTTTTTAAAATCGATAAAAACACTTTTTTCAATTATGTCCAAGTTATGTGATTTATTCGTTAATTTATTCAATTTATTGACTACCTTTTTCTTTTCTTTTTTAAAAACTACATCCCTTAGAATGTAAAATAAATGTTCAGGAAAGTGGATATATCACACATTTACTTGTAATTCTCGAAGAAGTACTGTTATGTATTAAGAGAAATATTGTATAGAGTTTCTACATACTCGTAATGGATAGTAAAGAGGCATTATATCGAATATAAGGATAACATATAATATATAAAAAGCATCATACTTACAGGTTAATATATTTGGTATACTAGGTATATTACGTATACTTTAAAACCTGTTGGCCATTAAAAGCTTAAAAAGTTTTGTTGAATTTCTTAGTTTTTGTATTTTTCCTTATTGTGATAGTATTTGACGTGACTTCTAAATTGAAGAAATGTAAAATCAAAAAGAAAAACAAAAAAGCATAAAAATTTTCTTTCTTCAACCATTTGTCTTGATACATTGACATGAAAGAGATTGATGATACTTCCTTTTTTTTTTGTTCTTATTAAATTGTGTTAAGGTGAGAAAAAATTCCATCATATCCTTTTCAAAAACAGCAATATATACATTTATATTATGTAATAGTTTTTTACTTAAGCATGGGAATGCATACAAACAGGGTGTTATGAAAATCAATTCAAAATTCTGGGCATAGCTTTAAAATTGACGGGAATAAATTTTAGTTTTAGCATTGTGTATATTGTTTATAGTGCTTTACAGAAGACAATTTTTGTGATTACTCTGCAAGCTACTTTTTTAAGTGACGCTGGTGAATATAAATATTCAAAAAAAGTTGTTTTATTGTGCAATTACAAAAATTGTCTTCTGAATAGAACTATAAATTATATATACTGCACAATGGTTTTTTATCTAGCAGTTTTGTGAAATTATACCACAGTATACTATAAAATAAGTTTAAAATTCATCAGCTTGTATCACGGAAATTAATTTGTATTTTACAATTATATCCGTATATGAATTTTGATATTTGAATTTAATTAGATTATTCACAATACCCAACTTAAATTTCATCAATTTTAATACAAAAATTTATTGAACAATAAAATTTGGTTCAACTCATTTAATTAAACAAACTCAAATTTCATAGAGTCAGAAATTTAGAACAGGTCTTTAGTACTTATACTTATTACTACAAGTATATTAGAAATTTCAAAACAAATAATTATTTTTAACTTCTTATAAAAATTTAAGAAAAAAAGAAATACCTTGCTAAAGATCACGATATAGAAATTCAAAATATTCAATTTCGAAAATATTTTTGAATCACTCTTTTAATTTTATTTTTACCTGTACTCCTTATGTATATATAAATGTACCACAAAAATGATGGGCTACACCTATGTGATGAGTTCTATTCCCTTTATTTTTTGTTTTTACTTTTGGTTTGTTATACTTGTTCTCCTTACCCATGAAAGTCAACTATATATTATACAATATTATTATATTTTTGCTTAGATGGATTTTTTATAATATATTATACAAGCAGTAAAACTATATATATATATACATATTGGGTATGTATCCATATTGATTTCAACTATAAAATGGTTATTTTTTTTTCTCTTTGTTGAAATCAACTCATTTGCAGATTGAATTGAAATCTTACAATTCATTGATCATTCAGGATTTCCTTTATATATATTTATATGTTTATATGCGTATATAGTAAATAATATTACTTATATTTTGCATTATATATAATATATACATATAAATATTTTTAATACATATATGTATATATTTAAGGAAAGTGTTATACAATATCATACAATATTTTGAATAAGGTTTTTTTTTGTTTTGAAATTTTATTTTTAAAATAAAAACTTATCCTTTTATTTATAAACTTCTTTATATATGAATGTTATTATACATATGTAAATATTGTGTAATAAAATATGATATATATATACATATAGTTATAAAGTTTTTTAAAAGAACAAAATTTCAAATAATTTTAAATTTACGTATACATATAACTATATTTTTCTTTTATATACATTAATAATATATGGGAACAGATAAGATAAATTAGAACATATCAGAAAAGCACCAAGAAGAAAATTAATTTTACCTATATGTGTTGTTAAAAGGTTAATTTTAGTGTAAAATCATTTAATTTAAAATGGTTATTATAAGAATTTTTTAATTTAATTTTTCAAATAATCAACATATATACCTTTAATGTATAATATTTAAAATAATAAATGTTAAAAAAAATGAAATTAATTGAAAATTATTTTATTTATAATTTTGCTCATTCATTAAATTTGGATTCTACTATATCATTTAGAGGTATGTATATACCTACGTCTATTCATTAATGAATCGTTTAGAGTGTAACTTTTATACAATATACCATTACATAGGAACTTAAAAAAAAATATTCACAATATAAAAAAATTAAAAGTTAAAGTAAACATAAAATTACTCAATAGTCACATTTAATAACAGAAGGTTAAGACATTAATATTTTGCAGGTTTTATACAAAAACTATATTCATAATAGCTATAGATAATTTCTAAAAATAAACTTTATAAATTCGACCATCAAAAACCTATTCTTCTATCCACAATCAGTCTAAGGCTGACTCTATCCAATTTTTTATTTCTCGGCAATAATAATGAAAAATTTACTAGAAAATTATATTGGTATATCATAAATTATTTATTTTATATAATCAAATTCAATTTTTAAATAATATGGAGTTTAATTAATTAATTAATATTTAAATAATAATCTCTTTTACTTATTTTCATTAGTGCATATTAACTATAATACATGTACAATAATAATATATACGAGTAGTAATACAAATATAATATAAAATATAAAATTTTTTAATAAATTTTAATTTTTTTCTGGTTCACTCCAATGATCCCAATCTTGTATTTCATTATATAATTCTAAACCGGGACTAACAGTAGAACTTACTTGTCTTCCACCAAATAATTTATATCTTCTACTTAGTTCACCTTTTTCAACACCACATTCTAATAGTTTTTTTGCAGCATCTAAAGCAGCTGTTGTTGGTAGAGCATCTAAAAAATTAAAATTAATTATATTAAAATTAATGAATTAAATTTATACATGTATTATGTAAAATATATATTTATGAAACTGTAATATTATACTTACTATCAAAATTACCAATAAATGCAATTCCAATTGATTTACTATTATATCCGTATGTATGTGCTCCAATTTTATGCCAACCTACACCTTCATATATATTTCCATCATTTCCAATCAAGAAACTACAATTTTAACCATAGAATAAAAAAAAATGTATAAATGAAAAATATTATTTTTATAGAATTTATTTAAAAGCAAAACATAATTTTTATATCATAAAAAAATAACATGAACTTTAAACCAAAACTGGTTTTAATAATATTTTTACAAATTAATAGAGTTACTTGTAGTTTAACAAGCCAATAAAAATTAAAACACCATCATGTACAATTTCGTTTACACTACGTTATGGAAAAAAAATTTATATTTAGTTTTAAAATGAAGGATGATATTATTTTTTCATGATATTTATTTTTTTAAGTAGCTAATGGTCCCGCGTAATCGTTTATTATTATTATTCATTTAATTGATCTTCCCTTGAAAAATTTAAGCAATGGTTGCACCCATATAATAGGCACAATACACAAATATTAACATTATAAATGTTACCTTCACATATGGGAATAATTAATACCCTATTTATGTAGTACATATAATTATATTTACACACATGTATGTATGTAAACTTACTTATAACCAATATCACTCCAACCCAATTTTTTCATATGATAATCTTGAATATTTTGTACAATTTCAGCGCATTGTGAATAACTTGTACATGTTGAAGTAACAGTATGATGAATAATAACAAATTTAACTGGAATTATCTGATATTCAACACTAAGAGTAGGTAAACCACCCCATTTTTTGCGAGTCTTAATTTTTGGACAATCCTCTAAAATATGTAAGAAAATAAAAAACAATATTTATATGTAAATGTACATTTGCTAAATAATTATGTATGTATGTAAATGTTTGGTTAGACTTAGATTATAAATTAATCTACTTATATATTACAAATATTATATACATACATATGTATATAGTATATGTATGTAATATAGATTACCTCCCATTACTATTAATACTAAGAGCAATAGTATAAAAATATTATATTTAACTAAAAACATTTTAAAATTATTATTTTTTTTTTGTTTTAAACAATGAAAAAATACAACTGAACTTCAAATTTGGCAAATTACGACTGAATCGCTTTCGGTCACTTTCAAATCAAAGATTCTTTACTTTAAATAATGCAAAAAAATTTTATAAAAGTATTGTTGAAAACAAAATTGAAAAAAATACAAAGTCGACTTGAAATTGAAGCTTCGTTTATAATATTATTATAAAAACTTATTACTGGTGCGCATTTTAAAACATAAATAATTAACGCGGATTCCGAATTGCTAAAAAATTCATTAACACCAGATTTTTGTATTATCATTCTTATTTACATATATGAATATATATGTGGGTGCATATAAAATAACATTTATTTTTGTTAGTTGCAAAGCCTTACTAACTTTTATGCTTGGCAATCTGATAACAGCATTTTGTGCGTCTAAATGATGATTGTTCTGGTCTAAGCAATTAGTCTGGTAATAAAAAAAACTTTGTATTTTTAATATTTCCAAATACTATAGTTATAATTATAACATTCTCTTTACTTCAAATATGGCAAAACATCTTATAATCTTACAGAATTTTATATTTTTATATTTTTTTCAATTATAATTTGGCATAAGGTTATCATTTTTAAAGTAAAACATACAATTTCTTATTAAAAAATATTTTTTCTTGCGCTTATAGAATCTTTTATCAGTATAAATAATTCACTAAAAAATCTTTATATGGGATCTGAAAAAAATCTTAATTGGAAATTTTGTTATGACGGAATATGAATATGTAGATAAGCAAACATCACAAGGGGATTTACTTTATACATCATGGCAATATAATACACCTTTGAATATAACACAATGTACAATAGCATATTTTATAGTTTTTGATTTATTTTTTGCCATTTTTTAAGAAAAATATTTTTGTGGTTTGTATTATTTGTATACTAAAATAAACCACAAAGCTTCTTTAATTGTAACGGAAGTAACTATTTCCAATATAAAAAAAATTACCTATGTACATGTACAATATTATATGGCGACTATATATTATAGGTAATTGGATCAAGTGCTCTTACTTATTGTGATTTTCTAGTAATAATTTATTTTTGGATACTAGGTTTCTAAATCGTAAAAATGTTTATGTATGTTGTTATTAAGACAAGTAAATGCATGGCTGATAATTACGTAATTTCATGTAACTTTCTTAACATTTTATTTGTTTTAATTTTAGATCAGATCAATACAATATGTTTTCAATTGAAAAGTTCTTAATTATCCTTAGAATAAATGATATATTTAGCATGCTAAACTTTTTGCTTTTTCTATTAACAGAAAATTTAAAAATATAATTATAACTATTTAAGATCAATTAAATATTGCAAATTGCATCCAAAAAATTTTAAAATTATACTCTGTACGAGCTTTTGTTCACTTGAGATTTAAGAAATAAATAAATCAAAATAAACAGTATAATGTAAAACTATAAAATGCGAACAAGCATTTCTGAGAAATTTGAAAATGAAAAATTCTTAAACATAAATCATTATTTTTATCATCGAATATTCGTTTTACATTTTATTCAAACTCCCTTTTTAAAATTTGAAGAACTAATTCAATCGATAAGTTGTTTCTTAAATTTTTTTAGTCAAGTTATTTCTGCAAGAATACATAAAAATTGAAAATTTAAATCCTAAGCAATTTAAAAGGAAAATTTTTTTTTTTTTCCTTCTTCACTCCTAGGAGGAGTATAGGGCTAGTGCATGATATCTATCATGCACTAGTTTCTATAGTCATAGAGAGTTAGCTAGGTAGGTGACTAGCCTACCGTAAAAAGGAAAATTAGCAATTACATATTTTGATGTTTTTACACATAGAAAAAATACTTAATTTTTTTAAATTTTATTTAACTAGTTTCTTTTTTTTTATTTTTAGAGGAGAAATTGATCATAGAACAGAAGCTAAAAGTTGTAATCATTCAAAATAAATTACATTAATGTTATTTGAAGGTATATTAAAATTTTTATTCATTATCGATCTTATAACATATAATTTCATTCTTCTCTAAACTATTTACCACAAAAAAATGTGATGAAAAAAAAGAAACGGAAGGTTTTATATTATGTATTTAAAATAAGCTGGAATGCATATGACCATTTTTTTAAGATAGTTTTGGTAAGCCGGCTGATATTTGACTTTCAATGCCACAATGATCTTTGCCACGTAAAATTTTGAAGTAACCATTATCACCCCAATCATTATTCCAAGAGTTTGCAATTAACCAATATGGTACATCCTTTTCAACACCCCAACCTAAAATTCGAATTGCATGTCCTCCAAGAGCTTTTCCATAAACATGTTGATATACACCTAAAAATTATATATTTCATGAAATACTTAAAAATATTAAAAACAATTTTTTTTAATACCGCTTTTGTAGCTGAGAAGATCTTCAAAGACTGTAAAAGCGCCTTCAACTGGACCATTGGTCATGATTTCTCTTTGTATAGATGCGGCGTTCCTTTCAACAGAATATGATTTCTTACCGAAACGTTTGTCAGCACTGTATTCAGTTTTATAAGACGGCTGACATTGATGTACACATTTTGGAGTAGATCCATGTTCCCCGTCACACGATGGACGATTTCCGGTGCTATGATGTTCGCATGGTGGAATTTCATAAGGTCTACAACCTTGATTTGATCCATAAGTTCCTCCAGAAACTATACCTTTCCTAACCCAATAAGACCAAGCAGATCCTGGAAAACCGCCATTACAACCGAAACCACAAAGATGACAACAGGAAACTAAATCATCTGCTGAAAAGCGGAAATGAACAGACGCATTTGAGTGAATGCAGACCTGGTATCCAAAACATAAAATTGTTAAAAAGAAAAACAAAGTGTAAGTGGTCAATAAAAGTTATGTACATATGTATATATTTGGGTCAACGAAACAAAAGTAAATAAAACGCAACTCCTAACTTATTTAAAAAAGTGTTTTGAATCATCTAAATTCAAAAGTATAAAATCATTGTTTAGAAACGAACGATTTTTAAATTAAATACTAAGTCTAACAAAGACTGAGAATCATGAATCATTATAATCGAATCATACTTTTTTTTTTCATTTATATTTGTTCAGATATTTTTATTTATTTATAAATGCAGCCAATAATTTTGTTTTGTTTGTTTTTGTTAATTCCTTTGTTAATCAAAATGTATGGTTTATGTCGCATTTACTTACAGTAAATACGCAATTTTATTGTAGAACTATTATTTGTTATTAGTAGTTCGAGACTACATTAAGAGCAAACCTTTGGTATCAAATCATAATTTATCGCAATTTAACAAACCGAGTCATAAATTGTAAATACAAAGTATTTACGTATCTTATGAGAACAAAAACCTTTAGGTTTTAATTCGAACCGACAACACATGAAAAAAATATGGTCTTAACCATAATTTTAATATTGATCCAAATATCAGTTTTTTTAGGAATTTGTTAATACAGCTACATACATACATATGTACATACAATAATCAAAACAAGCAAAATGTAAGTTATCAATATAAGTATGAATGTAGGTACTAACATAGCACATAAGTGTGAAAATAGAAAAAGGTTATCATATTATTATTTTCTTTAACTACATATTCATCTAAAGAAATATTTGAAAAACAAATTGATATTGTTTGTAAAAATTTTCAGAATAATTTATTAGAGGTTATTCCTCTAAGACAATATATAAAATAGATTTTAACCTTTATTTAGAAAACAGAACTATGTACATTTATTGATTGATAACTTTTAAAAACTTACCCGATCAGACATAGCTTCAACCGCTCCAAATGCCCAGCATGATCCGCAAGAGCCTTGATCCCTTATTTCTTTTATTGTGGGACAATCAGGCCAAGCTTTTCTTGCATCAAAATCTTCCGGAATTTCTCCATCTCTAAGCATAATAGTATTATCAACTGGAAGTAGAAATTTATCTGAGTCTGGATGTACTCCCATTAAACCTCTGAGGAATTCAACTGATGTATTGGGATGAAAATTTTGACCCGCCTGCCATGTTGTTGCCTTTTCATTAACAATATCTATAAAATCTTGGGACAAAGGATGATGAGCTGATACTACAGCTACATATATCAGTCCTATTATGAGTATTTCTCCACCTTTCATGTCTATAAAATTTGTAAATTTATTTGATTAAATTAATTGTATTATTGATTTTTCTATGTTCCTAAAAGTTAATTAAAATCTTATGAGTTTTCAAAAATTGAAAAATTAACCTCGACTGTTGGTTTGAAACTCTCGAATGATTTTAAATTGTATATAATTTTAACTAGAACTTAAAAAGAATAACTGCGTTAAATCCAGTAATCTCTCTTTTATCTTGCCGTTGCTATAATAGATTACTCAGAATTTGTTCTTAGTTCAACATCTCTAATCATACAAATAAATTATTAAACGTCAAATACAGCTGGGTTGACAAAAGTACTAAAGTGCATTAAAGTACATTTGTAAAATGTATATACCTACACACATACATGATTGACAGTACAGAACAAAATGACGCAAGTTAAAAAGTGTAAGTTTTCATAAAAATCTTAAATTATACTTCAATTGTTTGTATTTCGTCTAATCTAATCTATATTAGAATCAAATACTGTCTCTTCTACTATGTTAATACTTGATATAAAACTTTGACTTTTCTAACGAAAGCGTTACTAATAAGTTAAGACAATTTAAGAATATTAATTGAGAGAGATGAAGAATTCGGAAACTATTGCAAAATTTACTGTACCAACTTAAAATGTTTTACGTTCTCCGAACTGTTCTCTGTTAAATTGAATTTTCTAATGAACTTTAAACTATTGGTTCAAAAATTATTAAAATTATTTTTTGTTAAATATAGTTGTTCGCATGAAAGTTTCAAGGTTGGATTTTATAAACGGTTTGAATTTAAATTATTATGTTCTTCAATGAAACTCTACAAACATATTTCTACCTGGGAATAAAACGAAATTGTACTAAACAATTTTGTTAAACGTCATAAACATTTTGATTGGAAATTGCATAAATGCCAAATATGCTCGAAATTGTTTTTATAAATCAATCTTGTTATCTATTTGGCATTTGCAATGAATTTTAATTTAAAAATATTTTTAAATTTATGAAAATTGGGATTTTAAAATATCTATAAAGTTCAAAAGTCTGAAGATGACTTCGAGAAATTTAACCGAAGTTTTTGTAATAATGCGTAATAACGCTATAAAAAATAGACATTTGTACAATGATGATAGAGTAAGTCTTTTCTAAGTCCAATTTTTTTTCATTTTAAAAAACAATATCCTAATAGGGAAGTGCAGATTCTGAAAAACTATTAAAAAGGTCTATACATGATGCCGAAGAAGGCTTAGAATTACAAGACGATTGTGTTTCGCCACCAGTATGGTTAGACAAACTTGAAGAAGCTCAATATACAATGTCTAAGTTAGTAAAATTAAATTTTTTTTTAAAATATTTGCATAATAGGTAGTAATTTAAAATAAAATTTAATATCTGAAAAATTTCATAAATTTTAGAATCAAACCGAAGTTAGATGTGTTAGGTTCACTTCATGTAAGACATCTATTAAGACCAAATACATTTGATGAAACCAATGAAGAAGAAGATATAGATGATCTAAGCCAAGAAATTTCTAAGCTAATAGCATCAACACATCGTCACATTCAGTGTATAAGATCAAGCTTGGGATGTGGAAATAAAACAGAACAACAGCTTACACAAAATGTTGTAACTTATCTCTTGTTATCCTTACAAGATTTGACGATAAAATATAGGAATGGGCAGAACCAATACTTAAATCAATTAAACTCACGAGAAGAGAGATCTAAAAAATTTTTTGAACCTACAGATTTTACAACAATTGACTTGAATGAAACAGACGAAAAACAAAATAATGTTGAAACTTTTGATAATTTTCTGCAACCTAAATCTAATAATGCAGAAAATTATTACGATGAAGAAAACTTGGATGATCAATTCCAAAAACCAGTGTCTGCAAAAATGACACAGCAACAGCTATTACTTTTTGAAGAAGAGAATACAAAATTAGCTGAGCACAGAGAAATGGAAGTCAACAAAATAGTTAAATCGATTGTTGATTTAAATGACATATTTAAGGATCTATCACACATGGTCCAAGAACAAGGAACGGTTTTAGATAGAATTGACTATAATGTAGAGCAAACACAAGTAAGAGTCTTTGCCGGACTTAAACAATTACAGAAAGCTGAAATGTACCAAAGGAAAAATAGAAAAATAATGGCAATAATGATTTTATCTGGAATCACATTGTTCATGACGGTTTTGTTAGTTTTTACAAAGTTATAAATAACTAATTTTGATTATGTATTTTTAGAGCATTTAAATACCATACATATATTATATTTATTGTATCATTATTCTATTTATTGTAAATTTGTCTGTCTATACTAAAATACACTCCAACCATATTTAAAATATTAAAGTTTGTCTTTTTTTAAATAACAAGAAGAAATTTATGTATGAAAATCTCTTTATTTTTTAAAATCTTTCTGAAATGCGACTTGCAACTGAACGTAAATTACCATAAACTTTACTAGGAGGAGATCCCAGAATTAAATTACATATCGCTCTACGTGCTAATTGTATATTTTGATAACTTCCCAATATATGTATTTTACTATCTGCTAGTACAATACGGGTCTTTGTGACGTTTTCAATTGTAAACTTTGTCCGTCCTCCTTTACCAGCCAAACGACCTATTGCCCTACTATTATGATCCCCTCTCAAAGTTTTTACATCCTTTATTTCAAATGATTCAATAAATAGATCATCTAAACGTAATAAAGCTAATGCATCTTCAACTTCAAAACCACAAAGAAAAGCTTTAACAAAATCTGCGGCTTTTTGTAAATTTGATATATCAGGTGTCTCTGGGCTTATACGGATTTCAACGTTACGTGATTTTGTATTTACCCTAATCTGCAATTTCATATGCTCTACGATAGGGGTGAAAATTTTCATCCAATGTTCTCTTAGTGAAGAATATCTAGAAATTAATAAAATTTTTGATAAATTCTTCAATATAAATATTATAAAAATAATCAGATTTACTTACCTATGGGGTGGTATAGAAATTTTTCTTGTTTCACTTGTTTTTCTACGCTTAGTATCAGAAACACCAGATTTTTTAGTACCTTCGATTCCAGAAATTTCATCGACATTCATTTCTTCAGGTGCACCACGCTTTAAAATTTTTTTACAATCTTTTGAGGGTAAAAACTCATCAACCTTAATATCATCATCTTTACTTAATTCCATTTTTAATAAAATATTTTCGTTTTCGTAAATAAAAACGTGTTTTGCTTATGGTATATAATCGAAAAAGAAATAAAATGTCAAAATGTCAACAGCTGTAAACATAATAATATGTCAAACAGGGATCCTACGAAGTGTCACAAAAACCAAAGCGAATTTTACCGGCGAAAAATTATACGGTTCTAATATTATTGTAAAATCCGGAATTTGTCATTTGAATTACAGTATATTCTACTTTGATACGATCTAGAGTTTTATCTGGAAGTATATTAACGTATGGATAGACAAAAGCGATATTAATAAGCGTATAATGGATTATGGTCAAAAAGGAGGTACTTACTTTATGACAAGTATAATCAATCAATCATTCATACATATATTTGCATGTATTTGGCTATGAGCATAATGTAATTAAAACAGTTACTTATATTGTAACTGTTGAGGAAATAGGTATATGCGTATGTATGTATGTAGTCATAGTAAATATGTAGTTATCAAATCGAATGTACAGGTTTTTATTAACAAACTGAATTTACTTAACATTTGAGAACCTCTAGTATCTTTACAGAAGTTCTGCGTTTAAAAATGAAGATGATAATAAATTAAGTTTGATTAATATCTTGTATATCTATGCTAGAATTATGTATGATAAGTATGATTAAAATTTGGGGAAAAACTTATGCAATATAAGTTAATGTATAGTTAATATAGAAGAACCTAGAATTTATTCGTACCCAGAATTCTATCGATAAACAAGAACCTAGAATTGTATCATACCAATAAACATATATGTATGCATTTATAATTGAAATATTAAATTCAAAAAATTTTTTTATTTATTTCAAGTAACTTAAAATTTACATATTAAATATAAAAAATTCATGTAACTGATATAAATGAAGAGGTGTATAAGAAATATAACACATAGTTTTCCATAATAGAGTCCCGTATAATAAAATAATATTAAAAAAAAATATTTATAACCAAAAATTCCGTTTAATTAAAGAAAGTAGAAATTACAAATTCCAAACTGTGAACAAATTACAATTACATATTTAATATATATACAATTATTGTTATATTGCATAATTTAGTTGTGATATTTATCGCAAAGAATACATTTGTAATTTATGCATTTATAAATATACCTACTGCATTGACTGCATTACAAAATATATTATTAATTTTCATGAATTACAAATACATATAAAGTTTATTCAAAAAAACAAAAAAACAAAAATTTATGAAATCATTCGTTAAGCTTTTCGTAAATTAATATTGTTATTATTTTCAGGTAAATATTCTTTTTCTTTTAAAAGAATCATGTGATTACCATCTGGATGACCAAAATCATATTTAATTGGAATTTGTCCACTTCTATGACCAATAATGTGATTATTACGTTTACTATAATTTTTTTCTTGTGGAATAGTGAATTTACTACGTAAACTTCTATTATCACTACTATTATTTTCCAATATACTATATGACGATGATGATGATATTTTTCTATTTCCATTATTATTTGTTGATGATCTTGCATTATTATTATTAATATAAATATTATCATTTATTTTATAATCATTTAAATCAATATTTTGCTTTGGAATTCTACTACATTTATCTTTCTCATTAAATAATGCTTTTATATCTAGTTTTTGTTTTTGAATTTTTTCTTCTAAAAGTTTCAGTCTTTTTTCATAATAATTATTATTGTCCATTGAATCATTGGTGATAGTATTAAGTGTTGTTGAAATATCACTATTACTATTTCTTGTATTTATTAAATGATCTAATTCAGGTGTCTTCTTAAAACTCTGATAAATTTGATTATTTTTTGAAATTTCTATTAACTCAGGTTTTTCTTTATCAATAGATAAACGATTATTGTATGGTGTTTTATTAAATGTACTCTTTGTAATATTTAACATATTTAAATTGGTAAAAGTTGAATTTTTAATACATTTTGCTGATGAATTCATTGAATGTTTCTAAAATTAAGAAAAAATTAACATTTAAAATTTATGTTTTATATTTAAAAATAAGCTGTTTATACAGGCATTCATTTCTTTTTAGATTCGTATTAATTGAACTGTTGCAACAAATGCTTTAAATCAAAATGTCATAATATGAAATCCATATTTCATCTCTGAATTCGTTTTTTTGCTAATTTAAGAATGCTTGTAGATGTTTTTACTTTAATTACTTACATTTGGTGATATACCCTGTACATGATACGTACAATCAATTGAATGTCTTTTCTCATACTGATTTACATTACGAAATCTAGAATTACCATTTTCTAATGTTGATGTTGATGAATGTTCAATTGATGATGGACTACTCAAAATTTTTGATTTTTCACTTGCTAAAGTTAATGGTAATTTTGAATGTTTTAATTTTGATAATGGTTTTAATAATTTAACTTCATTCGTTAATAAATTATTTGTATTAGAAATATGATGATGATTATTATTAGTGTTATTATTACTATTATTATAATTAATATTACCATTACTATTGCTAATATTACTACTATTGCTATTATTATGGATATTTGTTTTATTGGAAATCGTTGCTGCTGCTTCTTTTTCTTTATATAAAATAAATTGTTTTCTCCCTGTATTAGATGTTTGTTTCAATGTATTCATATTTGTTATGTTAGTATTAGTTAAAGTATTATTTACATTATTATTATTATTATTATTGCTATTACTATTGCTATTATTATTATTGTTATGATTATTACAATTATTAGTATTATTATTGGCAATATTGTGATGGGTAGTAATTGAATTTTGTTGATATTTTTTTTCCGTGAATCGATTATGATTATATTCTTTTTTTGATTTTTCATCTGATTTCGATGGTGAAATTTTAACGGAAGTTTGCTTAGAAGACTGATGACTTACATTCATTGTACTCTCTAATTTTGGTGTTGCAATATCTCTGAAAAAAAAATTTTTAATTATAATTTTAATTATGAAAAATTTATTCATTATATATTTATCATTTAATAATGCTAATTTAATATTATATGTTGCACTATAATATATAAACATCTCTAAATATTCCCCATAAAGTCTAGGTATAGCTATATATATGATACGAGCTACCTAAAAACAGTGATATACATAATCGATTCCTACGCGATATATTGTTTAATTTATTTTCAAACTATTTTTTTGTTAATAAAGATTTTTTTGTGTCAATACTACAATACACTAATTTATATACTATCACGAAATACTAAAATAAATAAAAAAACAGAAACTAATTTTTATTTTTTATATATATAGTAATAATATATCGAAAATCAAATTTCAATATTTTATGTTAAATTTTCTAAATTTACACTGAAAAAAACAATTTTATTTATTGCATTTTTACGCCAAAAAAAAATATTTTTTTATGGTTTGTCCTAGTTTCACGAAATTATTAATGTCATGTTATAAAAAATTCATATAAATATTATTATTATAACATTTAAGAAATCAGTATGTTACAACAACTTTAAATTGGTATAATAGATGTAAAATACAGAATACATTCTTAGAATTATAATGAAATGTTTCCAAATGCAATTGGTCAATTTCAATAAAAATAATGTATATGTTAATGAATTATATAACCACGAACAAGACAAAAGACAAGCTTTTTAACTAATTTTCAATTTGAAACTAACCACTCTAATATTTTTTATAAACTCACATTGTATAAAAATATCACACTATTCGACAACTCATACTACTTAATAATGAAATAAAATAATTAACTATTTAATTTGTAGCATATTTAAAAATAATTAAATTAAATATTTTTAATATATTGCCTAATTTTTTTTGTTAATATAAACTAACTCTATAATTTAATTTCCTCAATGATTGATTCACAAATGATAAAGTTAAAAAATGCCTATGATTAATTATATAGGGAAAGTAACAATTATTTAGAGAAGCACCTGTGAACACCATATATTGTACTTGTGGATATACATCTACTAACGTAATTATTTACAATGCAAGAGTTAAGAAAGGCAACATATAGACAGGAGTCACATAATTTATACTGACCTACATTTTCAATTTTATAGACGTCCATAAGTAGAAGTGACGTCGTGTGCATACGTATATGCTTTTGAAGCATAATTTAATTAATATTCTTGATTAAAATATATAAAAGGACTTTGGATTAGAGTCTGGAATATTTAATTACTTAAATCAATATGAAATTGAAAATGTTTTTAATGTTATTCATATAGTCACAAAAAACTTCTAAGATTACTACTGTTAGTAATAATTTTACTATAATTTCTGAGATATTACTACTGTTTAAAGGTAGAGCCACCCATAGATCTGGAATTCACTATAAATTTTAAATTACATTGGCATTTAAATGAAATTTTTTTTTTTCATAAAGATCAAAGGATAATTAAGATTTAATTCTAATTTTTAATTATAATTTTAATAATTTTAATAAAGTTTCAAGAAATATTGTCATCACTTTATTCGTATATTTGTTTTATATGACTGTATAGCAATAATAATATTATTATTTTAGTTTATTATAAAATAAAAGTTTTTCGTTTTATATTATCATGCAAATCATAATATTTTTAATTCAAACTTAATTCATTATAAAACTATAGTATAGGTAGAATAGATCGTGTCAATTTGGTGATACCCGTACGAATAAATATACAAATAAGAGTTGTATCATATTTACTGAATACGAAAACTTTTGTTTCTTGTATTGTACAATTACCCTATCATTTATACAAGTCGTGGTAAAATTTAACACTGTATAACCTGTGCAGTATTTCAAATTGATTTAAAACTGATTTGTAGTTGTATATCGCGCAACTACCATAAGAACACGTGCTGTCTCAACGGTGGTTAGAGAAATGTCCATATTATCATATTTATTTGTGTAAAGTTTTTTGATACCATTTCTTCAAAAATATTTGATCTATATAGTTTAATAAATATCTGAAGTGAAACTCGAACCGAAAATTAAGCTATCCCAACTACTTCCAAGTTTTCAAATACGCGGATATACTTGGCTTAATCGATTCAAAATTTAATGCTGATCAAAAATATATGCTTGCGTCTATATACATACTTATTTATATCTCAAACATCTTTTTTTTCAGCGTTACAAATGGAACGGCAAATTTATAACAAACTCTTCGAACATGGTAAATATAAACATTTTATTCAGTACAATATTAATTGAACGTATGATGATATTTGTGTTAATATATAGGGTGGATCAACAAATCCGGTATTTATATTATATATGTATTTAATTAATTATATAAAATTTTAATTTAGGTTACGTTGGTATTATTTTTAACAGAAGGTTATTGCGTTCAGTTTATTGTTTTCAGATTATTATTTACAAAATCGGATTTAATTCATCAGGCAACATTATGATTGAATGTAACTAGTTCAAGAATTAAAATATCAATGTTGGAACTCAAAGAATTCATCAATGGGTATAGGAAAATTTGATCAATAACATAATGAAGTTATAATTCGATATCATTCTCAACAGGACCGAGTATATTCATTGATATATGGAAATTATAACTGACAGACAATGAAAAAATCTTTATTTTTTTAAAGAAAAATATGACAATTATTTAATTAGATATAATTAGGATATCCTATAAATGCAGCCCATCCAATTTAATTCTGTTAATATGTCATAATTTAAAAGATGATAAGGTAAGTCAAATTAATGTTGCCAAATTTAATTTTATATTGCTAATTCATGTTTTGATTTATTATTTAGTTTTATGTTTCTTTTTTTTTGAAATTTCTTTCTATAGGTACCTACCTGGGTACCTACATATGTAAGTACAATATTTCTTATTTTGATTATTTTATTAATTTTAAATTGCTATTTATGAATTCATACACATGAAAAGACAAAAATCATTCAATATGTTATATAGAAAATCTTTAGTTTGCGTGAATTCTATATATTTTTTTCTTGCTTTTTTGCTTTGTTTTTTATTATCGGATTTATCCTTGAACTAAAACTACATTTATTATTTTATTACTAACAGTTGTAAGTCATAATTTTAACTTATATTCTCACGGAATTTTCCAATTTTTTTTTCTATATACAATAGTGAAAAATTTATTGTATCTTTTATATTCTTTGTGTGTTCTAATAAAAATAATATAAAATATTTTGTCATATTTACAATTATTGTACTTGCATATATAATAATAAATAAAATAATTCCATATAAAATATTTTAAAGACACGACTTTTGTATATTACTAAAGTTTTTCTTTAATACTTAATTATTTATAATAACAAAGAAAATCTTATATGAACCTTAATTTATAATGAATCTAATAAAAAAAAAAATATTTGGCAAAAGTTATTAATAATTTTTTCTTTTTGAAATAATGAAAACATTTTTTTATAAGCAAATATCAATTACGTCATTGTATGGATAATGCCATTTGTATTATTTCATGTCCTTTGGTAACACTTTAGTAAACATAAAATAGAGAAAAAAATGGAAACTGAAAAATATAGTGTTTACAAAAGTTCATTATTCTGAAATGTGTTGAGAATTTTTGACACAATATGAGAAATGATTTTTCTTTTATAATTATGTTTTTTATATAATAATTCAAAATTGGTCTTTTACGCTTTTATATTGTTTTTGAAGAGGAAAGGCAAGCTCTATTACAACATTCATCCAACAATCGAATAAATTAAATAGAGATTTTATAGTAATTATAATTCTCTTTTATGATTTATATCGATAGTTTATGAAGAAAACGCTCTATCCAACATAAGATAAATTTTATATTATTATAAATTTTTTATATAATTAAAAAATTAATATTATTAAAAATTTTGCAATTAATAGAAAAAATTGTAGTGCTATTGTCGAGGTAAACAAAGTCTAAATCTTTTAATTTCCAGTCCAGATATTTGTAATGGTAAGAAATGAAGTAGGATTTCAATTATTTCAAAATTTTTTATTATTGCCCTATATTAGCTCTCGATATATAAATGTAAATCCCCAAACGTGGATTTGCATTATTAAAGAAACCAAGAAAATTAATTCGAATCTGAACAGAAAACAAATATTTTTACATACTGACTTGAAATTTTAAATAATATATGATCCATATCCTCACCCTCACGTGAACTAGCCCTACTCTTTTATAAACCAGTTTACAACTCAAGGAACCTCCGCCTTCGCCATACCAAACCTGGGCATGAGCACAGAAAATGAGGCATTTATTTATAAATATAATTTTATACTTATATTTTAATTCTTATTTTTGGTATTATAAAATTTTTGACTATAATTTTATGTATAGCATATTAATTATTTACTTAAATTTAATTTTATAATTCAACACCCCCGACTTTAACATTAAAGATTTTCGAAACGAAAAGTAACAAATATTTATTAATCAATACCAGTTATAATACTATAACCATTTTAAAACTTTTGCTAATAAAACTAAGTGATTCGAAAATTTACATATTTTAAGTGATTTTTAAGTCATTTTAAGTGAGATGCAGAAGAGCTGCTATAATTTAAAACAAAAGTAAATAAGTTCCTGCATAGTAGGATCCTCTAATATACAATTTGCAAACCCTAAAATTACTAATCATATTTTGATATCTAATTATAAATTCAAACAAAATATTTAATATCTTGTTGAAACACACCTTTATATTTCGTACAAATTTGCAATAAGTTTATAAAATCGCATGAATATTCTAAAATAGATAATTTTTAAATAAGGTAAATTTTATTTTGTTATTTCTATATCGGTAATGTTTTACGCGGTAAATACGCAATATTAGATTTATTTTTAATAAGATATCAAACCCATTATAATAAATGAGGAGTATTGGTAATGGTATTGGTAATGGTATTGATAATCTATTATAAGATTTTTCATTGATTCGAAAATAAAAACGAATATTTTTTTTTCAATTAAAATAAATTGTTTATCATAATTTTGATTGAAATGTAAGACATTTTTTAGAAAGAGAAGTTCAAAAAACTTGCACAAAGAGTTACAAACGATGTGATAAATGATATATATGACGTGATAATTATTATTTTTTTTTATTTAGACTTATTTATATTTTAATATAGAGAAATATGGTAATGATATTTAAATTAAAAAATTATAATTAGGAAAGTAATAATAATAATTTGTAACATTGAACTTGAAATATAAAATAATAATTTTTTGGAAAATAGTTTTTGTAGACCTTTAAATTTAGAATGATTTTCAGCAATATGGCAATAATCATTTAAAATATTTAAATTGTTATTGCTTTTTTGAGGTTTAAAACCATATTTCATAAATTCGGAAAGGGTTTTTATATGAAATATAGGAAAGCTCTCCATAAAATTTAGATTTTATTATATTAATTATATTACTGAATTTAGCCAAAAATTAATTTTTAAGATTGCCAGCTTAATTAACTTCTTAATAGAAAAATCAAACGTGTTCTATTGTTGTACATAAGTATAAATGCAAAGACTACATTGAGCAGAACTTAGTTACTTTAAAATAGAAATACATTCACTTAACTTTAAGGTCCTTCATTCATTTAAAATTAAAAAAATCAATTCAATAAAATAAAATTAAGGAATTATAAGTGATTAAATTAATTTATATACTCACTTTCTTTTTGCTGTACTATTCAATTTCGTGGTATTTTTAACACTATTATTACTATTTTTCTCATTTCCTTTCACTTCAGATATTTGCATTATTTCATAAAGTTTTGAACGATATTCTGGAACTGTTAATTGAACATCATCACGAAAAGGTGGTAAAACATCTGTACTTAATTCAGTTTCAGTTATTGAATTTTTAAATCTATATACATAATTGTATGTATATAAAAAAAATAAAAAAATGTTATATATGTTATTAAATAAAATCAAATGGTATAAAAAGTATAAAGGCTATATGGGACTCAAACTGAACTGTCAGAAAATTAACAAGCTTAAAGTATAATAAATTTTAAATAGCGCTTATTCAAAAATTAAAGGCTTATTCTAAAGAAATTATAGAATTAATTTCAATAACATTATTAGCAACATTTACGATAGGATAGGATTTTAAAACATTTTATAAAATCCTGTTGCAAAATAGTGCGATTCAAACTGAATTACTAAAGGATTGTATATCAGAAGTAATGATAAGGAAAAATTGTGCCAGATATACCAGGATCACAATAGTGGCATTTTTATTAATATCAAATAATTTTAAAAAAACAAAACTTCCCCATTGAAACATTAAATTTTGCAAAACAATAAATTACAGAAAAAAAAAAAATTGTACATACTTTTCAATATATCTATGTGAAAGAGCTTCTTTGGCTGTTAACCTTTGTGCTGGATTCAACATTAATAATAATTTTACTAAATTTTTTGCATCTTCTGAGGAACCCGCCAATAATTCATCAATACTAAGATTGCTGTAATTAAAAAGAAAAATAATAAATTATAAATTAATTAATTATTAATGCTAAACTTTCAAAAAACATTTTTGGGAATATATTCAAACAAGAACCGCATAAGGACGAAAAATTGTGGGAAAGTTTTGTATTTCATTAAAGCCTTAATTATTTACATAATATTCTAGAATCTAAAATATAGAGAAATGAAATTTAACTCGAGTTTAGAATTCGAGCGGAGAATTCTATTACACATAGCTAGTAATTTAAATAAGAAAATTTTAAAGGCATACGTATATTCAGGGAACGTATAATATACTCTTACAAAATTGGAAATATATCTACATGTGCAATAATAATATACAATGTTTTTCCGTGAACAATTAAATTTTTAATATAGATTTCATAGACATTTGTCTTATAAATGTAAAAAATAAATTACTTTTCAGAACTGATTTGTTGATTTAATAATACGGAACCAAACCCAGCACCAACCGCTTCAATATCTTTCTCATTTATTTCTGGTAATGCAGCAACAATTTTTTCAATCTAAAAGTTTTATATACTTATAAAATTATTTTTATAAATAAAGAATTGGAAATACCTGATTAACTGTACTACTACCAGGAAATAAAGGTTTTCCTCTTATCATTTCACCTAAAATACAACCTAAACTCCACATATCGATCCCTTTTGTATACCTAAAAAAAAATTAAAAAATTCATGCAACGAAAAATCATTTTAATAAAACAAATATTTTTTTTTGTGCAAATAATTGTTATAAAAAGAAATTGTATAAATTATGGGTGGGCCATTAATAAATTTTACTGATATATTAAAATGAAATGAATTCTTTACAATATTTTGCCAACTATAGCAATTGGAATAGGAATTATTGTTTCAAGGCACAATATTTATTTAATGAAAACTCTCACTTTTCCATTGGAAATATTTAGTTACAATATGTGCAAATAAATAATATTATTAAAAATAAACTGAACTGATTATATTAACCACAAAAATATCTCTAACCAACTTTCCTCTCAAACTCGTAATGGAAGAAAATAATGCTTTTTAACAAAATTTTCCTCCTTGACATACTAATTCTATATTAAGAAATAAGTTTAACGTAAATCGATTTATATCGTATAGTAATAGGAAAAAAATTGCCATTTTGTCAAAAAAAAAATACAAAATTTACAACTCACGGATTAATACTGCAAAAACGTAAAAGTGACCCACCCCAGATGCATAAAAATAATAATATGAATAGAGCTTTAATTCAAAAAATTTCCGCAATATTTCATTAAAAATATAAATATACAAACATATAAGCAATGTTTTTTTATTTTAATTATATTTGGAAATACCAATTTTTACCAAAATAAAAATATGTATCAAAAAAAATTGTTAGTATTTATTTATAAATTAACTAGTTTATTATTGTAATTATTTTAAAAAATCACGACATTAAATAATGTAAATATTAATGTGTATATAAAACATTATTTAAATAACTGTTATACAATATTATGTATATGGAGATATTTCGCATTAAGAATATAGTAGTAAATTAAAAATATTGTCTAAATTTTCAGGTTAATTAAAATTTCTGATAGTTATAGGTAAATATTTTAATTATATAACAATTTCTGTCTCTAAAGTACATATTGTAGTTTTACAAAAATTCAAGGATCTTCGTATAATTAATACTTAATATGATATTAGAAATGAGTACTCATTTTCTCATATAATTATTCGAAATGAGTACTCATAGAGTTTTTGCCAAAATATATGTCTGACAATTTTAATTATTGAACTCTATATTATTTCCTGCTTTCAGATTAATGCTTAAACAAAAGATTTTATAAATTTAAATTCATTTAGCGTTCATGACTTTGAATAATCGAACATGATATTATAATTAAGCTAAAATTTTTCAATATTTTGTCGAAGCAATTTTTTTTTTCCAATTTCTTCAATGAAAATAAATTTAATTTTAAAATTTAACAATGGTATTATTTCAAAACGAAACAGAACGATCCAAAAAAATTCAGCGGTTTATCAAAATTTCAATGGGTTAACGTACGTAAATATGTATACATACATATAATATTACCGTTTTTTCATTGTAGATAGATTGTAGATTGTAGATTTCAAGGGAAAATCTACAACTGTGATATAAATAAAAACTTTATAACTGTAATAATTCTAATAGATAATTAATAATGTAATTCTAATAGATTTTATTAAAAAATATCAAGGGCGACCAAAAATAATACCATGTATAAACTTAAGAACGATACTTTAAATATGAGGAGGTCAGCGCCTACTTAGTCCGCCTACTTGCAAAACTAACATTTCAAATAAATTGAGATTGAATGTTAAATATTTATTTTTTAAGACAAAAGGCAAAAACAAACTTAAGTCAAAATACAGTGAAAAGAGGAGTAAACTAAGTATTTAATAATAAGAACATAGCAACTCCTTTCTGAAAAAATTTTGGGTAGGCCCCTAATGCGCTGAGCACCTCATATATGAATAATATTTTAAGTGCTAAAAAATCCACTTATACCATGTTGCTACTCGTATACGAAATACATTATATAATATTATATAGGTAAGCAATTTCTGTCATCAAAATTGAATCAAAAATATTCATTGAATTTATTTTCTTCTATAATTTTACATTAACATAGCTATTAATTCAATATAATATTATAGATTCTTAATTATTAGTATATATACATATGTATATATAGGTACAACACAAATTCTTTCATTTTTTTTTTTTCATTTACATAAATTTAGGCACTTTATATACGAAAATAGTTCATTGACTTAACGTTTCTCTCGTGCGTATATTTTTTTAAGTCATTAATTTTCTATAACATTAACATTATACTTATCATTAATTTGTATACTTGTATATATATATATAACATTTGTAAAAACATATTATAATATTATACTTCATAATATTTTATTATATATATACATATAGATTTCAATATTATAATGTTGTAATTTGATTTGTTATGAAAAGGATGTAGTCACATATATGTACATTATATAAATGTACCTATATTCACACTTATGCATATAGGTGTATATACATATATGTATAATATTTTGCAGATTTATTTAATTTGAAAAGGATTTTAACTTTTTTATGGAAAAATATTTTATATTTTGTTATTTTGTGTACTTATATGAATACATAAACACTATAAGTTGTAATAGATAATATTATATATAGATAAAATATGTAAATATATAAATTTGCTGAAATATCATTTTGAACGTTTTATTTTATATAATAAATTAAAATGTCATTCAACGTAAGGAACACTTATAAAAAATATTAGAAAAATGAAAAATAGTAATATACATTAACATATAACATGAAAATCAGATAAATATGAAGAAAATTATTACTGATTTATGTAAAACACATGTAATATTTTATTATATGTAACTAGATGGGATTTCCAGCGTTATATATATGGGCATTCGGAAAGAATATGTCATTTATAACACTCGTCAGAATTGAAAGGCAATTCACTTAAATTGAACAAAATATTTTTTTTAAATCCGTTGCAATGCTGCTCGCAATTACAAATTCTTCGAATACTTATAGGAAAGAGCAAGAAATATAGAACCCTATACCCAGTCTATTTCTATTTAAGGTCTGCCAAAAACAATTAAGAGTACATATTATCAGATTTTTGAAATAACATGTTAAATTGCTTTGTTAAATTATTGCAGCACATTTCCTTTTAACAAATAAATATTGCATATATTCCGGAGGCGTTAACATAACGTCCAGATTCTAATTATTTGAGTAATGATAAATAATTACAAAAATAATTTTTTGCTTTTACAGAAATTTGAAAAAGCTAAAATAGTTTCGAAAATATGTGCTGTTAATTTCGGAAGAGGAGTAGGTAAAAGTTTTCTTTCTATAGGGTAGTAGATTTCTCGCAAATATAAATATCTTTTTTTTTGTAAAATTGCATATTTCAATATTAAACTAATGTGAACCGATTGACAGACAAATAAATCTAATAAGCGCTATTTACAATTTTATTTGAAATGTGTTAATAAATCAAATTTGAATATTATTCAATCATAAATTTGATTTTGCCTACTTTTCGACGCCTAGTTCAATTCCATGCGAAATTGTAAAAATTATCATTTTTGATAAGTAAAAATTATAAAAATTAAAATTTATAGAATATTTTTTTCTTATAAATAAATTTAAAGTTTTCCATATACTTACCTTTTACTAGCTATTAAAATTTCTGGTGCTCTATACCATCTTGTTGCAACATAATCCGTTAATATCGGTTCAGTTGGATCAACTGATGTATTTGTTTCTCCCATTGGTCTATTTGATACAGATCTTGCTAAGCCGAAATCAGCTATTTTACATCTTGTTTTTTTTTGGTTATACAAATCGGGGGACAAAAAAAAAACAAACAATTCAAATAAAGCAAAATCGAAAATACAAATAGGAAAAAATTTTCTATTTTCATGTACCTGCATTTACTATCGATTAAAACGTTACTAGGTTTAAGGTCTCTATGTATAACATTCCCTGAATGAATATATTTAATGGCATTGAACAATTGGTACATCACATAACGTTTATGTATATCTTTTAAAATTGTCCCTCCTTTAATGACATTATGTAAATCACTTTCCATATATTCAAAAGCTAAATAGATATCCAAATTGTTTGTTGCTCTAGAAACAATAAAAATTTCCAAATATTATATAATGAATATAAATTAAATAACAAAAAAAAATATTATTTGACAAGAAAACAAACATAAATACTGAAATATTGTTGTATGCTTATATAAAAACTTTATAATTCTTGCCAAGTCTGTAAAGGATACCTTGCTTAAATAGATAACTTGTACGTGTATAAAAGATGTTAAACAAATTTTGCATATATATATATATATATATATATATTCTTTATGCGTTTAACATAATATTATGTTGAACATGATTTATTAGTACATATTTATATTACTTTCCAATATTTTTTATTCTCTATGCTTTATTATTAATAAGAATAAGTCATTATAATAAAATTCTTGAAAATTGCTTTAATATTCAATTCAAAATATTTGTAGAGAAGCTTTTGTTTTTAAAAATTTTAACATAATTTTCGTTTATTTTTATTTAATTCGAACAAAAGTTTATTGATCGAAAATTTAAAAGTGTTCTTTCCGTCGCTGCAACGGACCGAAACCACTCAAAAAATAGAAGGAATAGAAACCTCTCATTCGATTTTATTCTTTTTACTTATTATTGCTTAAGAATTACCAATCTTAATTAATATTCTTTTAAATCCATAATAAATTAGTATGCGATTATTGAATGCAAATCACCAAGTACGCAAGTAATATCATCAGTTTAAACGATGATGAATTCAATTTTAGTAATTACAAATATAAAAGCAACTGAAAACAGTAATATTGGCATTAAAGTGAATGGTGTTAACATTATTAACGAGTACGGCCGTAGCAGTTTTATGAAATATAAAAACATCTTATCGAGATATTCATCTGAGCCGTCGCGTTCGCTTTGTAAAATGCTTCCATAAAGGTCGGTACTCCTTTATGGAATGGAAGCGTGGACACTGAAAGTTGCAACAATGAATAGGCTGGAATCTTTTGAGATGTGGCTATATCGAAGAATATTAAAAATACCGTGGGTAGATAGAGTTAATAACATAGAAGTTTTGAGCAGAATTAAACGTAGAAAGTAAAAAATATCATATTCTGCAATTAATCCTGCAAGGTAAAATAGAAGGCAAAAGGCGTGTTGGGCGAAAACAAATGTCGTGGCTGCGAAACATCAGGCAATAGACTGGCCTACTAACAATCGGGCAACTAGTACACAACGCACAGAACAAGGAAAGCTTTAGGAATGCAATCGCAAACATCCAGTAGTGAATAAGCAGACGAAGAAGAATTACAAATTAATGTAGCCTACAACTTAAGGTTAACAAAAGTATATTCTTTAGATTCTTTATCAAATTCTGCTATAACAGTGCACTAATTAAATAATGACTCTAGTGAATAAAAATTGGTAAATACTAAAAAGTAAAAATTAAAAGAAAAACTATTACCCTTCTAGTAAAAGAAAGTATTTCATTTGAAGTGAGGAATCTTTTACTTTGACTACTAAATAATTACTGAAATATTTTAAATAAGTAAGTACTTCTAAATATTTATATTTTATATTTGAAAAATAATAACTATATTTACTTATATATATGATTTTGTATGTTATGTGAATGTATAACAATGCAATTAGAATTTTTTTAGGAATAATATTTTTGATTATCGTACTTGGCTTTGCAAACATGTTTAGCGATAATGAAATCGTGACAAATATAGTTGCCGACTGAAAATTTTTAATAAATTTATCTTTGGCTCCAAAAGTGTTGGCAGGAAAAGAAAAAGCCTTGCCACTTTCATTTTGCATCGTTTAGTTCAATTGAAGTTGACGGGAATTTAAACCATTTACACTTGTATTCTTACGACATTTTCCCAAAAACTTATAGTGAATGGTTTTGCACACCGTAGTACGAATTAAATTTTACAAATTACAATATTATTTAAAATTAAACAGAAAAACTTAAATAGCTAAGAGGCAAATATTTAAAAATATAGAAATAAAAAATTTTGTTAAAATAAAATTGTGCTAAAAAAACCGTTGCATACTTTAAGGGTACAATTAATAAGCACATTTTATCTAATTTCTTTGCGTGTTAATAAAAATGTGAATAAATAAATTTTAAAACGAAATACTTACTTATGAATACTATAAAGTTGAATAACATTTGGATGATTTTTAAATGCTTTTAAAAACATTATTTCACGAAATGTTCTTTGGGCATCAGTTTTATTACGAAAAGCATCAAAAATTTTCTTTACAGCAACAATATTACTTGATTTTCTATCAATTGCTTTCCATACAATTCCATAAGCACCTTTACCTAAACGCTATAAATGAAAAAAAATATGTGTTTATGAAGTAAAAATGACAAAATATTTCATATTTTCAATTTTTTCTATAGAAATTGTGGTGTTTTCATTCGTAGAACAGAGAAAATATAACAATCTAATAAAATGATTTGAATCAAATAACGCTGCTATTTTTATACAAGAGGACACTCAATAAATAGCAATTAATAATTATTTTAAAATCACCACTTAGTAAGACTTAATAGACTTATTAAATAAATTTTAATTTAAAATAGAAATTGGAAATCATATTGTGAATCATACCACATATTTCGTCTATACTATGACATAATTGACATTATGTCGGAAAAAGTCGGATTTAAGAATTTTTTCTTAAAATTTAATTAATGATTACGGAATATAGCAAATCATTCAGCATAGATATTAGAATAAAATCAAACTAAATACAAATTAAATTCTGTAAGTTCAGATTTATTTTCAAAATTCTTTATTCAACCAATCATAAAGTCAATCTGAATTCTTGAATTCGATCATATCTGGATCGAATTTGCTGAAACAATTGAAAATTCACAACGCAAATATCATTAATATTTGAGACTATTGCCTTAATTATTCATTTTGAATTGTTAAACTCTTTAATTTAGAAAAGCATTGATATATTAAAAAAATCTTTATTAAAGGTTTTTCGATCAAAAATTCACATAACGTATATATACTTAAAAAGGACATTCGTTCGCTTAAATCGAAACTATCATGAGCTCAATATTTTTCACTTATTAAATTTTAGTATTATTTTGTAATGATATGAAAACCTATTGGGTTTCGTCACAATTTTTTATTTCTTTCTTTTTAAAATTTGGTTTTGTCATTGTATATTTACATAGTTTATAGTGATTTACAGAAGATAATTTTTGTAATTACACAATAGAACTACTTTTTTTTTGAGTAGCGCTATTTTAAATTCAAAAACCTAATATTCATCACTAGTGCCCCTCAAAAAAAGTAGTTGATTGGGTAATTACAAAAATTGTCTTTTGTGTATATCACTCTATACCCAATGATTTAGTACAATTTTCAAAAATGTATAATATATAATTCCAAATTATTCCAAGTCTCATAAGTCTCATAAAATACCGCATGAGAGAAATCCTTCATAGCGACATGAGAAATTTCAAAAATACAATTTATGGGATATTTCTGATTTAAGGGCAATGTATTTAAATAATATTTATTTAAAAAGAAATTAATTTTAAAATGTTTTAAATATATTATAAAAAATTAAAATATTCGCACACCTTTTTGATATCAAAATGTCTATAAATTTGGTCGTCTATTTCTGATACTTTATTTTTATCTTGTGATTTACTTTTATTATTATTATTGTTATTATTATTATTTCCAGCCATTGTTATTGATAATTAAATTGATTAATTTTATTAATTAAATTTTTTTAAATTAAATTTTTCTTTTTAGTTTTAATATACCATTTCCAAGATTATTATGTATAACGTATATATCGTATTTAAGAATTATGTACACCCGCGCACAATTTGTACTCAAATCCGTATCGTATGCGAATGTAACAATATTTGTAGATTCATTTTGTAAATAACGAAATCTTTTAAATATTTTTATATTTTTTTTGTTTTTTTTTTCGACTATAACTAAAGATGACTTCCTTGTTGTAAATTTTTTACTAATTTTTATATTGTTTTATTTTTTTATTTTATTTTTTTGTAATTTTTTGTTAGATCGATTTCAATAGTTGTTTTGTTTTTTTTAATTTTTTCTATTATAAAAACAAAAAAAAAATTACATGCACAAATGACATAAATTTATGTATTTATGTAAGCATAATATACTATATACTTATGAGGATAATATAAATTTTACATTGATATACACATGCATGTATATATACAAATATTTATTTATATACGAAAAATATTATTTTATTTTATTAACAATCCAACCAATTACTATTTTGTTTCGGAAATATTTTATTGTTATTATGAAAAATAAAAATCTGTTTATAAATTTATACCAACAAAATTGTGTATAATAATTTTATAACAGATTATATATATATGCAAATATACACATGTAAAATATGTATATTAAGATTGCCAACTACTCGTATATGTGCTCTCATTATAAAATTGTATAACAATTATTGCGTAAATTATTGAGCCCTGTCATGAATTCCATTTGAATTACGAATCCTACGGATTACAAATTAAGCTACGACGCAGAGTAGACTTTTGAATTATCACAAATATTACTCGTAAATATTATAAGTCGCAAATTTCAATACCATAAAATTTTTCAAAACAATTGAAATAAATGTGGAAGAAAAGGAATACAATTGCATGTACATAACAATGCAAGCATTCGGTACATTTCAAACAGACTAAAATTGAAACAGAGTATTTGAAAGAGACCAAAAAGGGAATCAAAAGGTAACCGAAATGTGGAATTCCATTTTTTAGTTGGCTTTAATTGAAATTTCAATTTCAGCCATCAATTTGACTATTTCAGCTATCAAATTAATAGATTTCGATTTGTGAACATTATACATTTAGACCTGTAATTAATTAATAGTAGAAAATACATAATATATGGAAGGGTTTTCAAGTTCTTTAAGCGTTTTCATATAATAAAAAGAAAATGGAGTAGGTTAAGATATACAAAATAAATTAGTGAGCTTATTAATTGATAATTCCACTTTTATTAAATAATTTGATATAGATGGTAACCCTAATGTGCATGCATATTTTACAAATAAATATTACAATTCATTTCACTCTGTTCTTCCATATAACAAAAAGTTAACAATGATATAACAGTGAATTTTATTAAAGATCCTCTTCACTTTAAAATAAATTATAAAAATTATTCATTATAAAACATTCATACATTATGTGAAATACACATAATATCTACATATGTACATAATGAAGTTGCAATATATGAAATATTTTATCTAATTACTATAGGAATTATTACCGATATAAAATATTATGAATACGCCAAATATTAAATTCATACACTTACTTAACGTATTTTACTTTTAAAGTATACTTATTTAATTTTAGTGTTGGAAAATGTTATACTACAGACAGCTACACATTGTTAGTTCTGCAACACTTATATATTCTGTTATTTTCCGTTAATATAATATTACTCAAACACATATTTTATAAGAAAGAAAATCTGAATTTTACAATTCAAAAAATTTGCCAAAAAAACTAAAAATTTAAAAATTTATATTTGAGTGACTTCAAACCAGAATGGTTCTAACTAAGAGACTTTAATTGCAAACTAAATAATTCTGAAAATAAACTTCTAGCTGCACAATACTTAAATAAGGATCACTTTAATATCTCTATGTATTGTAATTGTAAATCTGGGCAATAAAGAAGAAATTGATTTGAAATTGTAATATTCTAAGAATATACGAAATTTCAAAACGTTTATAAAATCGGTGCACCACTCTGATTTCGAATCATTCGCATTTATGAAATTATAATTTTTCAGCAGATCATTGGAATTTTTATTTTTTACTTTAAGAAAATTTGAACGAGAATAATCATTAAAAATCATTAATCAAATTAACAAGCACAAGTATTTTAGATATATATACGTAAGTCTAACTAACTTTATCTCTTTTATATAGAAAGCAATATATAATAATATTAAAGCCGCTTAGGCAGATGAAATAACACGATAGTACTAGTTGCCTACAACAAATACTTCATAACAATTAATATATTAAATACTTCATAATAATATGAACAATAAATATTCTTTACATACATATGTATATATAGGACAAAACTTTAATTTTAATACTGTAATTAATATTGCCTTAATATTTAATGAAATCCTTCGAAATTTGCAAATCAAATCTATATAAAATTGTAAGAATTAAATCCGCGGAAGATATAACATTGTTTCATATAGATATACACATATATATATATATTACATACATACATATATATGTATATATATATATACACATATATAGATTTATAAAATCATTAGTTTCAGATGGATGAATCAATTAACAAGAGTATACAATAATAAATATTATAGACAGAGTGTATACATACATTCATATATCCACAATATTACAGTTACATATCATCATATATATTTTAGAGCACATACATAACATACATAAATATAGTTCACTATTTTTTTTCTTATTTTTGTTGTTTCACGTTTCTAATTATTTTTCTATAGCCTTTCAATAGTACATTACAAATATACAAGATTTTAGCATAGAATTAATATTAAAAAATTACATGTGTATGTGTATGTAGATTAAATTTTCCAAATTTGTTTTGTAAATTAATTATTTGATTAATAATTATGGGAAAAAATAAGCAATTTTTAATATAAAAATTCACCCGAAGCAATAATTGAATTATCCTTATTTTGTTTATATACATACATACACACTAAATACGTACATACAAATACATATTTCTTTTTAAAAGTTTGTTTTAATTATAATATAAATTTAACATATTTTAATTCGAATATTTTTGTGTTTTTATTTTAATAATTTTTTATAAATATATTTTTAAGTAAAACTTTTTTAAAAAATATAAAATATTTATAAAAACTTTTTTTATAAATTTAAATTTTTTATTTATAAATATAAATTTCCCGTATTGTAAATTAAACGAATGTCAAAATAAGACTAGCATACTTGAATTTTTTTATATTATCCTGGCAAGCTGATATTAAAAAAAAAAAACAAAAATCAAGACAACGTGTAATATTACCTTTTTTCTTTATATGAAAAAAATATATTCCTGTTAACATGGTAACAGGTACGTATACATATACATATAATATATGCATATGTTATTTTGTTATTTATAATTTTATAATGAAATATACTATGTCTTCATAAAATAAATAAAAACAAGTGAAAATTATTATGAGAAAAAGCAATGGTTTACTTCATATTAAGACAAAGGTTACCGATTCGAAAATTTTTAACTTATCAAATTAATTTTCGAAACTATAACATACAAAACATGCAATATTTTTTCTAAAATAAAAATATTTTTAAGTATTAGAAATAGAAAAGATTCTTCCATTCATATTTTTTTAAGTACATACAGGTATTAAATTACATAGTAAAATGATAGATAAATTAAATGGGATGACTGTTAGAAATAGAATTAAGTATAATACGCTTTTTTTAATATTTAAGCTAAAAAACCGACTATTATTATTTATGGAATATAGGAGATTTTAGATTACCGTTATACCATAAGACATATAGTCAAAATTCTTTAATGTACAAAGCTCTTACATTGTTGATAAACTTCAAAAACGAAACCAGAACAGGGTGTATTTAAAAATTATTAAAAGATCATCTTCTTTCTGTCAACTTGATTATTTCTTGATTCAACTTGATCATTGTAAAATAAGAATTTTTTAAAAGTTTCTATGAAACTAATAAATAATAAAATTAAATTTTTTATAATTTAATTATATTTTTGTATTATTCATAATCGTGTTTTGTTGTTAACATTAAAAATAAGATTAATGTTTAAAAATAAAATTCATTGCTTTAAAAGGAAAATTATTTGCTTGGAAAGAAATTAAATAAATATTTAAAAAATAGAAACGAAACTTAATACATTGTCGAATTCATATAATTTTAAATCATTGTCGAAGGGATTATAATTTTTTATATTTTATAATCTTAAATTAGTGGCTAATAAGTAATTGAATTATAAATAAATACAGTAAATTCAAAAACTCATAATTTATTTAATTACATTATATTATTGTTTTTGCCTTGTTTTTAAATATCCTTCATAAAAAAAAAATTATCTTACGTAATTTATGATTTTTGGAGCAAATTTTATATTTATTATAATAATGCATTATACTGTTACTCTTTTATGCTATATCTCCTGCACTATGTTACACTAATATAAATTCGCTTCATTTTTGGTACGTTCTATTGGTTTTGTGTTGCCGAGTCAAAAATTTTTAAAATGTCATGTCATTTTGACATTCTGTAGGTAAAGTCAATCAAATTCATCTTGATTTTTTATCTTTTGATTTTCCACGAGCAAAGGATCTTTTTTCTAATTTAATTGCATCTCTAGAAAGTAATTTGAAATTGAAAAAAATGTCTTTACCACCACCAGTTAAAGTATCACCTTTAATCAAAGTAAGTATCTTAATTAATGAATTCTGCTTCAAATCTATTATTTATTGTCACATACATAATGTGTTACATAATTGATAGCTCGGCCGATGGAGTTTCTTAGCTCTTGGAGTAGTTTATGGAGCATATCATCAAGGTAGACTATCCAAAAAGGAAGCTGCTATAAGAGAAATTGAAACTCAACAAAAAGCTATTAGAGATGCAAAAATAGCTGCTGAAAAGAAACGAAATGCTGAAGGTATTCAATATCTCTCCTAAAAGTTATCTAACCCAATTTATATATTTTATTTTTTTTTTACAGCTGAAATCAGAGCTTTGGAAGAATTAGCAAAACCAGCTAAAAAATAGATATTAGGAAATAAAAATCTTGTTAGAATAATATAATACAAGAATAAAGTTAATTTGAAAGAAATGATTCAATAGATATACTATTTACGTACTTCATGCATAAGTTTGTATAGAAATGTAAATCTCTCTATGGGCAATCAAACATTTTATATTGTTTACAAACAGCAAATTAAACTTAATGTTGGACATCAATCAAAAAAATTTGTGACTTCTTACGAATTTCACATTGGTAAAGTTCTAAAATACACTTGACGCTAATGAAGTCTATCTAGGGATCCACGCATTTCGCGAGAATTAAAGAAAATTTACGACTGGAACAGTTTACTTAATCCGTACTTACTATAGAATGAATGTTCATTGATTTGATAGTTTGGTAGTTTTTTGTTTAAACCTGAATATTGAGTACTGTGAATTGAGTGGTAATTGAAAAAAACAAATGAAGCATTTGTTATTGATGAAGTGATTTCGAAATCTTGGATAAAAGGGCTAATTTCAAATTTTTTATGGGAACATCTAGACTAAAATATTTTGTGAGAAATTCTGTAATTTGAATTTAGTTTAACTGCTTTTAAGTATGTAGGGAACAGTTAGATATAAACTCCTTTGTTTATATGGAAGAATGGCATACAAAATCAACATATGAAACAGTATATAGAGACAAAAATGAGAAATCAGAAGACGTGGAAATTAAAATTAAAAATTTAGAAATATTTATGCTCTTATATTTTGATATAAAAGTGATCTAGTCATATATTTACCTACATAACTCATATGCAACTAGTGAAATTAGTATGGAAGAAAAGTTCTTTCAACCATTCTTTGTCAAATTTTTTGCGCGAAATCGCTTTTAGATTGGCTTTCTGACATTTCAAGTTGTTTAACTCGAGCGTACATTGCACTTCCACCCAGTACAATTAAATTAGACATCCACCAAAGGAATGATTTTGTTTCACTGTACCACTGCGTTGCAATAACTGTTTGAGCACATGCCTTAGCCGTTCCAGAAATATTGTGCGTTAAAGGTGATGTGACCTGAAAGAAGAATATTCAGTTTATGAAACAAAGTAGGTTTCATTTACCTTTATTTGTAAAACCGATATTATTCCTATTGAAAAACCACATACTCCCCCAACAATCATTATTGACCAAAACCACGATTTACCTAAATTTTCATAACTCACAATATTTGATAGCTCTCCATTTAATATTATTAATGGAATAAATAAGAAGCACGAGTAAAAATTATTGTAATAACTTAAAAGCCAAATTTCTTGATTTACATGGGGTAAAATTTTTTTTGTATAAATTGAATATAGTGATAAAGTTAATGAACCCAGCACACCAAGAAGTGTCCCCTTTAAAGAAAATGAATCTGTAAATAAAAATTTTTAAAAATTAAAATAATGTTCTAAAAATATTGTAGGTTGCATCGATACCGGTTAAGCTTTCCTGATCTACCCCTAACCAAAAGCCAAATATAATTGCGGCGCAGCACCAAATACATTTTAGACTAGTTTTTTGTCCTAATAAAATAAGTGAGAATACAACATTAAAGACAGTTGTTAGTGAGCGTCCTACGTAATAAAAAGCTACTCCGACATATTTGAGACACAAATTATTCGCAGCGATTTGGCATGTAAATAGTATTGAAAGTGGAAGAACCTTAAATTTTTTTGACATAAATTGGAATCAATGCAGAAAACTAAATTATTATTGTATTACCTTTTTACTAACATTGAAGTCTATAGGATTACCATCTGGGAATTTAAACTGTGCAGGAAAGCATTTTGAAATAATACTCATTCCAAAACATATTAATGTTGATAATAAACATTGAAACCAAGTTACAAATAATGGTGCATCTAAGTTGATCAATGAGCTGGCGAACAAAGCCTTATTGATAAAAACTGTCGATATAGAAATGAACCTGTAACCAACTTTTAAAGAAAACGATAGCCAAAATATATATTTTGATTTACCAGTAAGCACTAACAACCAAAAATATTTTAATATACTTTTGCTTTAACGTAGATTTTTCCAAGTGGTCGTACATTTTGCATTATTTCACATGCTTTTTTTAAATTTCAAGCATATTCAAAAAGGTAATAAGAAAAAGACTTAAAACAGCTAAAATATTAAATTTAATCTTAATTCTAACTTGTTTTGTGTTTATGGGTTTATTATACACTTTGTGTTTGATTATCATATCACAGATCACACAGTCTGTCATTAAGATTAGGGTTGGAACAATATGTTCAAAATATCATTCTATTATACAGGGTGTATGATATGTAAGTGCGCTGTTATATACCATTATATAAATCCTCATTAGTCGACAAAACTTTGGAGTCGATGTTCACAACTTAACAGGTTTGTAAGTCAGGGCTTTAAAATCAATTCCGACTAGTTTTTTTGCCTTTTGAAAATTTAGGAATAACTTCGGGCCTACCTTAAAATAAGATCTTTCTCATGAATAACTTTTTTTATAATATGTCCAGACTTCGAAATCTAGCAAGCGATTCTACAATTTAGCAGCAACTCCAAAACTAAAAATTGCTTGTCTTCTTTATCCCTTATACTTCACTGTAACCGCAATCTTGACATCATTAGGGCGCAGGCAGGTATGAAGAAATAGCACAATATTTTTACTTGTTTCTTAACTATTGAAAACAATATGAATTATTAGCAATAATAAATAACCGTGAAGTTATGAAGATTTGTTTGGTTTTATTATTATAAAAATTAAATATAATTTTGGAAAATTTGAAATTGCCTTAAAATCAAATATATTTTCAGCTCATTAAAATTAAATGGTTTGAATGGTATTCTTTTGGGATGCGAGTGTGTGACTGTCATCCACATAAACATACTTAGTTATCAAACGGAAAAAGTATATCTCTTAAATGAAGTTTATGTATTGTATGCATGCTGAAATCTATTTCAAACTTTTAACATCACGAAGCAATTAAAACTGTCAAATATTATACATGACACTACATTTTTCGTTCTCGGTACTGGACCGGTAAACAAAAACTTTTGAAAGTAGAAAGATCTTGTTTTGTTAATTTAATATAATATTTTGTTTATAAAATTAATTATGAGTCAAAAAGTAACTGTATTAACAACAAATGGACGTAGACAAAATGTACCAGTCACACCAAATACCACCCTTTTGCAAGTATGTATATAAATAATGGGGCCAAGTTTTTGTATAAATATTTTAAGTTGCATGCAATAAACTTTTTTTAGGTGCTAGAACAAGTTTGTCAAAAACACAATTTTAAAAGTAATGAACATGGATTAAAACACTTTAACAAAGTAATTTACGACATAAATTTTCCAATACACTTGTAGAATTCACAAATGTGTTTACGTTTAATTATAATTTCAGGTTCAAGATTTAACACTAACTTTTCGATTTTCTGGTTTACCAAACAACTGTTTATTAGAAATGTTTGAAACTGACAAGCCTAGAGAAGAAGATGGTGATGTAACTTTATGTGTCCAATTAGAAAACGGGGAAAGAGTTCAAGGAAGTTTCAAACCAAATCAAACTGTTGAATTTATTTTAAATAACTTATGCCAAGATCAATTCAGTTGTATGGAAAATCCTATCGTATTTTATATGAGACAAGAAATATATGGGGATGCATTGAAATCAACAAATTTAAAAAATTTAGGAATTACTACCGGTCGAGCCATTGTAAGGCTTTTAAATCGAAATCCTGATGATCTTAAAACGTATATTGCTTTAAAATATTTAATGACTGGATAGTTTTTTAAAAAAAATTTTTTAGGCAAGCCAATGTCTATGTTCCTCCAACCCCAAAACCTTCTGAACCAAAAGAGGAAAATGAGCGAAAATCCAAAAAAGAACTAAAAGAATCATCTGGAATAAATGTTGCTGAAGTAATTAAATCTTCAAAAACTGAAAACGACAATAAACAATCTTTAGAATCTGAAAATATAGAGAAAAACAAAATCGAAATAACTGAAGCAAAGGAGGAGAATCTTACAACAAATAAATCTGAAGCAGATAAAAAACCACAATATTCATGGGGAGAAGGTGCTGGTAGGATAATGAATGAAGAGCAAACTAACCAATTGCCTATTAAAGAAGATATGGATACAACAGAGAACGAGCCGATAGTGTATGAAGTAGGTTTTACTAATAGACTTTACCTAAAACATCGATTGCACATCTACTCAAAGTATTTAATATAGGTGTGGTAATTTATTTTTTTAGCTTGGAGAACGACATGCAATTGTATTTTCTCTTGAATCTGTTCAGAAAACATCGGAAGAAATTCCTGATTCATTTTTTGAATTAACAACGAATGATTTAAAGCTTTTACTTCGTGATTTAAGAAAAGAAGCGATGGGAAACGAAGAAGCACCACTGTTGACAGCAAAGATGAGGGAACTTGAAGAAAGTAAAAAAATTTTAAGAAAAATGGAGCAATATAAACATTGTGTAATAAGAATACAATTTCCTGATAGACTAGTTTTACAAGGAACATTTAGATCAATTGAAAGTATAGATGATGTACACAATTTCGTTAAAAAATATTTAAAAAATCCTGAAATAACATTTCATTTGTGTAAGTATATATTTTCCAATATTTTATTATGCATGTTTAAATATGCAAATGAAAATATTTTCATAATTTGACTTTTCAGTTACAATTCCACCTAAAAAAATTTTGAATGTTGGACTATCCTTATTAGAGGCTGATTGCGTTCCGGCAGCAGTTTTACATTTTGGTATTGATAATAAAGAAAATATTTCGGATAATTATTTATTGCCAGAACTGTACACAAAATTAACAAGTCCAGAGGGTGCCTTATCTGTAATCAAATCAAAGTAAACTATAAGTTTTTTTTTTCTCTAAATATTACATTATACAATTTTTGTGATTCTTAGGGGCTTACTGTTTTCTGATTCAACGAAGGATGAATTTTGTCAGCAACCGTCTTCATCTTCATCATCATCACCATCTAAGGGTGCTATTCCTAAAAAACCTAAAAATGAAGAATTTATAGAATCCAAAACTGTTGCCGCTTCGTCTGATAAAAGTGGAGTTGTCCCAAAATGGTTTAAACCAATTAAAAAATAAAAAGGATTGTCACGTGATTTTTAAGTTTATATTTATGAAAATAATAAATTTTTTATTGGAAAAGTTACAGTAATAAAGCAAAAAACTTAAAAAAAAAAACAATGTATGTATATATATGTTTTTTTTTCATAATATTCGATTTTATTTAAAACAAATTACAGTAAATAAACAGTGTTGAAATACTCAAAATATAGAAATTAAATGTTTATGTGAATACAGCATTTTTTCGTATAAATTTTTATTAAACATAAGAACATTTTCTTAACGATTAGAAATGCAATTGATGTCGAATTGTACAATTTTGGAAAAAGAAGTAAAAAAAAAAAAACGAAAATTTTCATTAATCCTAAGTATTTAATTAAATTATTTTTCTTTATTTTTTTTTTATTATTTTGTATTTTTTATAGTTTTTTTTTTTTTTTTTTGTTGTATATTCTAAAAAAATGCCCCGCTCAAAATTTTAAGGCTAAAATATTTATTATAAACATGAGCTTCTTGGCAGTTTATTTTTATTCATGTTATAAAATCAAATGAGTTGGATATTATATAATAAAATAATTTAAATAAAACTCGTGTTTTTATAAGAGTTATGCCAAATGTGATCTTTCTAACCACTTCATTACTGATTGATAAATGTTCATGTGTTCATAAATGTATTAAAAAAATTTTTTTTAGATTTTTTTAATTAAAAATTAAGAGTTAATTTTAATTAACAAATTAAAAACATTCTTTTTAATATTTCATTAATAAAAGCCATTATCAATCTAAAATAAACAAAGTGCGCTTAGAAAGATCAAAAATTACAAACACCTCAAAAAAATATGCTTTTTATATATATATATATGTATATAAATATCATGTATATTATTTTAAATCTTAAATCTTATTAATTAATCTGCTTTTTCATTTAGCATTTTTATTATTTGTGATTTTATTTTAAACTATCTTAACTCTATTTAATTAAATACAACGCGATTATTTTTGTTAAACTCTAGATGGTGACAGTTTACAATATTATTTTTTTTACTTAATCTTATTTACGTTGTGGAGTACATAACGTTTACTAATTAAAAAAAAAATATCTGAGTTTATACTTTTATTTCTTATTTAAAAATCAATAATTAATATCGTTAAAAATTTGGAAATAATTGCTAATAAAGATATACCGAAAAAATTTCAATGCATATACCGAATGAAAATAATCAAAAATTTAATAAAAATTTTAGTCTCCAATTAACAAAGTACAATATTTAACTTTCATTAAATTTATCTTCAATTTATAATAATTAGATATTTTTAATTCAAAAAAAAACTTACATACATAAATACTTATAATAAAATTTAATATTAACAATTTTTTTATAAAAATTTTTCAAATATCTTTAAATTGAAGTACAGAAGAAAATGCTTTTGGGCACAACCAGTAAAAATTAGATAAAGTTTTTATACTTTTTTTTCGCTAAATATATATTTTTTTTAAATATTGGAAATAAAATGAAAATGCATCTTGTTTTGCAAAAAAAATTGTAACTCATTTCTATTAGCGTAATAAAAAGTCAAGTTTGAGACTTCCCGGTCAAATTTAAATTTGTTTTAAATGCAGCTTTTTCGAGCAATACTTTATATTTTTTTTTTAATTTGCTTATAAGTATGTATATGAATATAAATTTGAAATATAATTTAGCAAAAAAAAAAGTATTCGAAGTTATATAAAAACATTTACTAATATATTGTAAATTATACATAAAAAGTCGACTAATTAAAATTTTCAAATAGCAGTGTAACACAACTGGTATGCCAAAAAAAAATAATAAAATTATTTCTTTTTCTTTTTTTGCAACATTTTGTATAATATACCATATAATTATTAAGGCGAATAAAAAATATAAGACCGTAAAGCTTTGAATTCTTTTTAGTCTTTTCTATTTTGTATTTTGATTTTTTTGTTTTTTTCATAAAAAGCGTTCGCACTTCTTGGATCAGTTAATAATAAATACATTAAAAATTAAGAGCAGCAGAATTTCAATTAAAAAAAAAAAATAAGATAATGATTTTACATTCTCGATCCTTTCTGTTGTAAAAATTTTGCACGATCGTTAGATTCTTGCTCCCTTACCAAAGGACTGTGGCATTCTTTTGAAACAACAAATAAAAATTCTGTGTCTTCCGCTCCGTAGCTATACTGGGAACCAATATTTACTAATTGTTCAAATCGCCATCCGTCAGACATAGTTGACACCATCTGAAAAGCAAAATTTATTAGAAATTCCGAATGAAATAAAATGTTTTATATATTATTTTTTTAAAAAAGATTATCATACTTGTGTTAACTCGTTTTCTTGACATTGTAAAACTCTATAAACTCGTTTTTTGTCAGAAGTTGGTCTCTGAAAAACAAAAAAAAATATATATATTAATAAAAATATAATAATTGAACCAAAGTGAAATTACTTGATCCCTTCGTAAAATACATTCTTTCAATAAACTTATAAGCTGAGTAACATTATAAAATTCTGCTTCCTCTAATACTCCTTCCTCTGATAAACCATCTAAAACCAGTTTACCATGCCTTAAATAATTAAGAACAGGAGCAAAATATCTAGGATCTCTATCAATCAGATAAGCACCAGTTTCATCCTAAAAAGAAAGAATTAATTTTTTAATTTTATGTATATAACAAATTAATAACTAGAAAATACTTTATCTGATTTTATATCTGAATCTTCTTGAACTAATCTTGATAAAAAAGAGTTCGGATCACGGGATAATGTGGTTTTTGTTGTTAAAAAAGTTGTCCCACCCACATTTAATTTGACCCATTGATGTACATTTTCTCTAGCTAGAAAATTAGGACTCTTTTTACCATTTAAATTTACCGTTGCCATTTCTTTCAATGCTTCTGCCTCATTCATTAATGCTTGTTAATTCTGATTAAAAAAAATTGAAATTTTAATATAAACAAAACTAGGAAACAAAAAATCCAATTTTTTGTTATTAAAATCACGCATTACAAACATATATCAAAAAAATTTATAAATATATTTTGCAACATTAAAAATATTTCAAAATTAATTACTTTTTGATTAATATTTGGAAAAAAAAAAATATGTACAAATTATTATTTATGAAATCGCACTTAATCGTGATAGATATATCCTTTTTAAGAAAATTTGACAGTATAATGACAGTTATATTTGACTTTTTGAAATTGGTATACAACCAATTAATTGAGTCAGGGTAGAATATCGACACTTTTTGTTTTTGACACAATTTTGATCAAATTCTGAAAGGCTGTTTAAACAATTGATGTATGAAATTGGCAAAAAAAACATTTTTAGCTCAAAATTAAAATATGTTCGGATTTTCACAAATTTTGAAAGGAAACTTTTTCTACATAAAAATTTTGTACTTCTAAACGAGTAAAAGTAAGAAGTACATATTTTGTATTTTTGTGATAAATTAGATAATTAATGTATGCAATTTAATTCTAATTTTATAATATCTTTTAAGAATTCTTTTTTAGTAGAACTTTTCCTGACTTTTTATAATTGCAATAATTTCTTTCCGTTTGTGAAGTTATAATAAATTGAATATCTCATATATTCACAAATGAAACATAAATAAATAACGATATATGAAATTGCTCAAAACTAAAGAATGTTTAAGTACAAATTACATTTCTTTAATGAAAATTAATGAAATGTAATTTTTAACATTCAAATTAATGAAAATTATAGGATAGTGGATCTTAGGATTTTCTTTAATTATATCTAATTATTCAAGAATTAGAAATTCTCTTTTCAAGATTCTTAACGAACTTCAATATACCGTAGTAAATGTTTACACCTTATTATAGACAACTGTAAAACTTAAATTTTTAAAACATTTTTTTTAAATAACTTTAAATTGAATCATATTGCCTAAATGAATAATTATATTTACTTTTTATAAAAGGTATAACTACTAGTTTGACTTCGTTTTATTCTGAAAAAAGTTATTCTGAAAAATTGAATATGTTATAAGTAAATTATAAAACTCAATGATAAAAAAGAGAGTATTAATTAATAAGTAACATTAATAAAAAAAGCAATTGCTTCAATATGTAAACACAGAGTTGTTGTTTTTATGTGTTAAAAATGTCATACAGTTCATACAAAATTTTGTAAAATTTCTTTGAAATGTATGACATCGACGTCACACAAACATGATATGTCATACAAATTTAAATAATAGTGAACAATTTTATATTTATGTATGTACATTTTCAAAAAAGTGACGTAAACTTAACATGACAAATATTGTGTCAATGACAACAAATTACAAGTTAGAACAATACAGATCTCATTAGAATCGATTTTTGAAAAATTTTTCTTTTTAAATATAAAAAGTAAAAATAAAGTTAAACAGTACACTGATTCAAGTTACAAGTTTCGGAAGCTTGCTATAGTTTTCGAATTAAAATTTTAAAAAAAATTGAAAACCTTTCAAAGTTCAATTGCAACCTAAAATCATAAATATTGATTTTTAGAAAAACCTTGAAAATATCGATTAAATATGTCTCAAGCTGTGGTAATAATTAAGAGTATTAAAAATTATTTGTATTAAACTTTATTTATAAATCTATTAGCGAATGAAAGCTGGCAAGTGTCCAACTGATGAACTTAGCCTTACGAATCGAGCTATTGTTAATTCTCAAGATTTTCCGGAAGATATAAAGTACCTATTTTGAATAATTTAATTATGCAAATTTTTAAGTAAATGTAAAATCAAAATTATAGATATGCTGAAGTTTGCACAGGACCTGGTCAACGATTTGTGTTTTCATTACATAGAACCATGGACATACAAAGAGGCTATATTGGATTTTCTTTAGTACAAAGAAAATGGGCCACATTATCAATTAACCAAGAAATCGAAGTGCGAGCTTTCGCTTTTGATGGTTCTTCAGATGTTATTTGCTCAGTGACTCTAGAAACAGACTTTTTACAAAAGAAAACGTAAGTTATCGATATAAATAGCAAATTTGGATTACTAAAGTTTGATATTGTAACATAAGAAAACTAATAAATTTAAAAAGGGTGGGTATGTACATAATGTGCTCTTAATTGATTTTTCAAGTATTGATTAAAATAATGAAGTTACACAAAGGCACATGCCTCAAATCTATGCCAGTATGTGAGCGATTTTAAAGCTCAAGAACAAACTTTAGTGTGCATTTATCTGATTTTATTGTTTCACTATATTTCAAATGCTCTATTTATAGAAAAATAATTTTTAATGTAAAATCAATATTTTAAAAAATGGATTGAAATTTATATTAAATCAATTTTTGTTTAAAAATAATTTACGTTGTAGTGTTTCCCAAGAACCCTATGATACTGATCAAATGGCGAAGGAGTTTTTGCTGCAATTTGCAGGTCTAGCGCTTACTGTAGGCCAGACATTAGTTTTCAGCTTCCAAGATAAAAAATTACTCGGTTTAGCAGTTAAAACGCTCGAAGGTGTTAATGTTAATGAGATTCATTCAGATAATAAATTCACCATGCTTTTATATAATTTTTAGCTATTGATCCACAATCGATTCAAGAAGGAAAAACTGATCAAATGAAAAAGGTCAGATTTGGAAAAATATCTGGAAATACTGTTATACAATTTGAGAAAGCTGACAATTCATCTTTGAATTTAACTGGAAAAGCTAAAGGGTATTTGTTTGGAAATTTTGAAAATTTGTATAAAACTTTTTTTTTTGTTAACCATTAGAAAAATTGTTCGACAATCTATTATAAATCCAGATTGGGATTTTGGAAAAATGGGCATTGGAGGTTTAGATAAAGAGTTCAACGCCATTTTTCGGCGTGCTTTTGCTTCTCGAGTATTTCCACCAGAAATTGTTGAACAATTGGGATGTAAGCATGTCAAAGGCATTTTATTATATGGTCCTCCTGGAACAGGTAAAACTTTAATGGCACGTCAAATTGGCAATATGTTGAATGCACGTGAACCCAAAATTGTCAATGGTCCTCAAATTTTGGATAAATATGTTGGTGAGTCTGAAGCTAATGTTCGTCGCCTCTTTGCTGAAGCAGAGGAAGAAGAAAAGCGGGTAAATCTGGGATTATTTTTAATTTATGAATTGTAAACAAATTAATTTATAAAATTGCTCTTTTTAAATGAATCGTTTAACACATTTTTTAAAAACTAGCTTGGCCCAAATAGCGGTCTGCATATAATCATTTTCGACGAAATTGACGCAATATGTAAAGCAAGAGGTTCTGTAGCTGGTGCTGGTGGTGGGGTACATGATACTGTAGTAAATCAATTACTAGCTAAAATTGATGGTGTTGAGCAGCTTAATAACATTCTAGTAATTGGTATGACAAATAGACGTGATATGATTGATGAGGCTTTACTTCGACCTGGTCGGCTAGAAGTACAAATGGAAATCAGTTTACCAAATGAGCAGGGAAGAGTTCAAATTCTTAATATTCATACCAGGCGTATGAAACAATATAATAAGATGGACCCGGATGTTAATTTACAAGTAAACAAGATCAAAATTTTTACTATATTTCAAATATTGATGTATCAAAAAATATAGGAACTTGCGGAATTGACTAAAAATTTTAGTGGCGCTGAATTGGAGGGTTTAGTTCGGGCAGCACAGTCATCGGCGATGAATAGATTAATTAAAGCTTCCAGTAAAGTAGAAGTTGATCCTCAAGCAATTGAAAAACTAAAAGTGAATCGCAATGATTTCTTACACTCATTGGATAATGATATCAAACCCGTAAGAATAAAGTTTTGTTGTTACCTTACTTAATTTAGATACACATTATTGAATTAATAAATTTTATAAATAAGGCATTCGGTACCGCCCAAGAAGTTTTAGACACTATGCTCTCTCGAGGAATTATAAATTGGGGTGTTCCCGTAGCGCATATTCTTGAAGATGGAATGTTATATATTAATCAAGCCAAAGCTCCAGAATCATCGGGAATAGTTTCAATTTTACTTGAAGGCCCTCCTAATTCGGGAAAGACAGCACTAGCTGCTAAATTGGCAAAACTATCTGATTTCCCGTTTGTTAAAGTTGTTACTCCAGAAGATATGGTAGGATTCACAGAATCCGCAAAGTGTTTACAGATACGTAAAGTAAATTTTGCTATCAAAATTAATTAAAACAGAATTAAAAAATACATTTTTTGTAGGTTTTTGATGACGCTTACAGATCTACCTTAAGCTGTGTTGTTGTCGATAACATTGAACGACTTTTGGATTATGGTCCCATCGGACCAAGATACTCTAATATGGGATTGCAAGCTCTTCTTGTTTTACTAAAAAAACAGCCGCCTAAAGGGCGAAAATTGTTGGTGTTATGCACCAGCAGTCGTCGGTATTTATTAAATTTTTATTTTAGATATTTTAAAATTTTAAGAATCTAAAAGAATGACCTGGTATTTTTAGGCAAGTACTAGAAGAAATGGAAATGTTATCGGCTTTCACGTCAATTATTCATGTTCCGAATTTGTCGGAATCTGATCATGTTGTTGAGGTCTTGGAACAACACGATATATTCTCGAGAGATGAATTGAATAAAATAGCTAAAAAGATGCATAAGAGAAGGTATTCAATACAATATTTTCCAAATAAAAAAGAAACTAATTTTTGAATGGGTTTTTCAGAGTTTTCATTGGTATTAAAAAACTATTGGGATTTATTGATATGATAAGGCAAACTGAGCCACATCATCGAGCAATAAAATTCTTATCAAAAATGGAAGAAGAAGGATGCATTGCATTGGAAGCACATTAACTGATAAAGGACATAGACAGTATGTCGATTGTTGAAATCGACGATGTATTTTAAAAATTACATCAAATATTTATTAATATTAAGCAAAATAAAAAATCAAGTCATAAACTAATAAAAATATATTAATTCTTTAAATGAAATTACGCATGTTATATATAGAAAAACATTCAAAATAATAATATTTAATTCTATTGTAAGCAATAAATTCTGAATGTAGAAAATGTTACATATAGTAATTATGATGTTATAAAGTATATTTTTTTTTTTTGTTTAAGTTAAATTGTTATATTTATGTATTTATATATACATATAATTATATATAAATTATACATAATGGTTTTGTTCCCGTCTTTCACATTACAACTTTTTTTTTTTTGGAAATTGAATCTTTTTTGGAGAAGGAAGAAAACATTATTAAGTACATATCAATACCTTGAATAAATTAGTTGATATTATGCATTATACATGTATATATAATACATAAGCATGTATTTGATGAAATAATATGCATATGATTAAATATATATGTACATATTGAGTCCGTCCCAAAAATGCGGGCACAATTTTTGGATGATGAGATTCCATTTTTTATCTTACCAAAACAAAAAAAAAAAAAAAAGAATTCAATTCTAAGATTCGAATATCAGATATGATAACATAAAATTTATTTTCAAGAAAACATTCCATTAAAAAAAAAAACAATATTAAATAAAATATTATTTCTTAAAATGTGAAAGAGTTTTTGTTGAAATGTTTAAATTAAATTTTGTGTTTTTAAATACGAAATCGCTTCAATTAAATTGCATGGATTAAAAAACAAATTAAACATACAATTAACATAATATAATTTTATTTTAGAATTTTTATTATATTTTCGATATTTATCTTAAAAATATATTAAATCAAAAATAAAAGGAACAAAAAAATTGAATATAATTTTTCAAAAAATTTAAATTATTTTACATAATATGTATATCGTACCTGTTTGAAAGTGAAATTGGTATGTTCAGTGCATATGGTAGTCTTAAAAAATTGTAATAAAATATTTAAGATAATAATATGTTTAAATTTAAACATTGTAATAAATAATAATATCGATACAGACGTTATTATTTGTTAATATTATTCATTTCATAATTAACTCTTAGAAATATATTTTTATTTTATGTAATATTTGCAACTTTAAAAAGGAATATTGGATTTGTATGCAATGTAAATAATAGTAGCACTTTTTATGAAAATTTTTTATAAACATGAGAATACCTAATATTTAAATCATATTTAGAAAAAAATTTGATATAGTCTCATAAAATAAAGGTCTATTTGTATATGTATGATTACATAATTACCTAAGTTTTGTTAGTCGCACCACTTGATATGATGGACTGTTATTGAACAAATTTTGTAATTTTCTAAATAAAATCAAATTCTATACTGAAAACGAAAATATTTCTTAATAGTATCCCATCACATCAAATTATATGACTAACAGAATATGGTTGAATATGCATATGATTAAACTTTATTCCTTCTAATATTTGTTCAACTAAAAAATTTTTTTAAGCATAAAAGCACATAAAAATCTCATATGCACTGTATTTGATATAAGGAAAGTTAACGAAAATTTGTGAATTTTTTGTTTTTTTTTTTTTTAAATATAATATATATTTAATAAATAAATTTTACACCTTTATTAACTTAATTGGTTTAAAAAAAAACATTAATTAATTATACTTTAAAGACTGACTATATTACAAATAATTATAAATTCTTTGTTTTGTTTTTTTAGTATAAAAATATTTATGTTAAATTAAATAGAAATATAATTTCTTTTTAACAAAAAATATTATTATTAAAATATTTTAATAAAGGTGTTTTTAATATAAAAAATATTCATATAAAATGTTAATTTCAAAATATATAAAATTATTTTAAAAATTTGAAATTTGTTTATACAAAATTGATGCAAATGTTATCGAATCTCAATTTTATTATTTTATATTTTTAAAATTGAGTTGTAATTTTGTAGATTGTAAATGAAAAATTCTTATAAATTTTATTAAATATAAATATAACGTACCTAAATTATGTAAGATTTTAACTTTAAATTATATTCCTATTTTTAAAGTTAGGTTTAAAGTGAAACGAATTATATAGTACTCTTCAAAAAATGAAAAATATAAATAAGGAAGAGAGACTTTGCATTGAAATATAATGAAAAAGTAAAGTATAAAATAGAAAATGAAAAATAAAGATTGGTAAAATTTCAATTATTAGATTTAAAGTATCAAATTTGACTAATAAAAAAAAATTAAGTGGAAATTAAATCTTGATTGACAATGTAATATTTATCATATTTTCATAAGCACCAATCCTTTTTTTTTCTATTAAATTAAAATCTATATGTTTCGATTTTATTCCCATATAATTGGAGCGGCTAAAAAACTTAATACCTATGTTAATTTATGTAAAAAGTTTCTTTTCTTTGAGATTTAATTTAAAAAGACTAAAATAAATAAATATTTAAGATGATTGTATGTATTTTTAAGGAAAAGTATAAAGCTTCAATTATTTTATTTTTGCATTTAATATATTTAACAATGTCTAAAAATGATAAGAAGCTGTTGAATTTTTTTTTCATAAAACTGTGTACGAATTCATTTAACAATAGAGTTTCAAAATTGTATAATATCCAATATGGATTAAGTGATTAATTGAAAAAGAAAATCAATTCAAACAGTAGTTCAAATATATTGATCTTCCAAATTTATAAATAAAAAAAATTTTCAGCTTTCATAAACTATGTATGTAAATGAATTTTCAGACATTGTGGCAAAACTAAAAACAAGGCATCAAAAAAGCAATTATTAATATAAAAAAAAAAACATTTTTCTTATTACCCATTTATCTCCTATTCTTATCAAAAATTGTTAAACCAAAAACACTACAAATATGGTATTGTTAATAATATTACAACTAAAAACATTTCTTTAATGTCGTTATCAATCTTGAGAAATAAAGTTTATGTAAACTTTACATAACAAAAACACAAAATTTCTTGTTTTTTATTTCAAAAATTAAATACAATAAATTATTTGCGCATTTTATTTTTATTGAATAAATAATTAAAATAATACATTTGCAATAATTTATATTTCTAAAATTAAAAATATGAAAATAAAATTATATTTAATAAGACATAAAATTTTTATATACTTTATAACCAGTTATTGTTAATAAAAACAGTACCAAAATAATTTTCGCTGCTAACCAAAGTCAAGATCTACGTAAATCAGTTAAAGGAACATACATAACTCCCATCAATGTTGTATTAACCACATTTCCTGCATTATCTTTATCATACTGTTCTAAATTTTGTGATCCACCTTCTGGACCTACAGGTACTATTAAACGACCACCGTTTTTCAACTGATCTATTAAATGATTTGGAGTTGATGGTGCAGCAGCACCAACATGAATTGCGTCTACAAAAAAAAAAAATATATATGTATGTAGTTTTTATAAAATTGAAAATTTTGCTTTTATTGGATTGATTGTATTTTATGCGATTAAATAATTTTAAAACAACATAACCAGAGGTATATTTCAGTTTAATACTTTTTGTTATTATAGGCATTTTTATATTATGTTATTTAAAATTGTACACTCTTTTTTTTTAAATTCTAATACTGTAACTGTATAACTTATAGATATAAATTACCATAAGGAGCATATTCTGGACAACCTTTTCTACCATCGCCTTCCACAATGATTAATCTACCTGATGCTAAAAGATTTGGATCATCATTATTTATATTTTCTTTGCTTAAATTGACTAGGTTTGGTTGATGTTCGATGCCTATAACTTTTCCCTCTGTATCTCCAATAGCATTCAAGTATCTAAGAAAGCATGCTGTTAGATATCCAGATCCCGAACCAACATCTAATAAGGAAATTGTAGCTTTTTATTTTTTTGCAATTCCTAAAAATCATTTAATATCATTTTTCACCTAATACACGGGAGCCTGGTTTCAAACGGTCTTTTAAAAGTTCTAAAGCATATGCATGCATATGAGGAGCGCTAATAGTAACGCCACATCCAATTCCTTGTGGTGCATCAACATATGGATTTCTTGGAGAATACCTTGAAAAAATAACAAAATAAATTGAGTACCTATTTATATTAACTTTGAAAGTAAAGTTTTTTTGATGATATAAATATTATATAAACCAAAAAATGAAATAATGTAGGTAAGTAGATGTGGGAAAACTTATTTTCCTATTTATATATGAATTACGTATATGATATTCAAAATCATAGACCTTTAAAAACAAATCTAAATAAAAATTATTTTAAGTTAATTAACTAAGGAAAATTTAACGACACTTGCGAGTTATTGATTTAGTTTAACACATCAATGCATAACCAATGAAAGATGTCCAATAAACGCAAAAATTGTTTGGAAGAAGAAAATATCTAGAAATTCTAGAATAATTGTTTGCGTTAAAAATGTGTGCAAGAAATTACTTAATCTGGCACTTTGTTAATAACACATAATTTAATATACAAGAAGCCCCAACAGTAATTCGATTTATTTCTAGTTCTAGATATAAATAACGTACGTGGGTATGTATAATTGTTTCGTATTGAACATTTGTAAAATTTCATTTTTAATTTTTCACACTTTTGCGAAAGAATACCAATTGACTCTAAAATAGTAACGTTCATTTTTAAGATTAAACTAATTTTGGAATTGTTTTGATACAATAATATGTATACCATTTTCTATCTGTTGCTAACATCGCATTTGCCACAGCCTCAGTTTTGATTACTCCATATTCTAAGAAAAATTAAATAGAAAATATTATTGGCTTAGCAAATATAATAATCATTATAAATGTCGTACCTCTTAATTGACGAATTAAGTCGGCATTATTTACACCAACTGAACGCCAAGCCATTTTATTTTAATATATCAATTCGGGCAAAATTTTTATTTTTATAATACGCACTTCTTTGTGTTTGTATAAAGTATAAACAGTGCGATCAAAACTCTCGGTTGGGCTTTTTTGACTTTTAGATTTAGAATATCTGTAGAATAGAGTACTAGATGTATGAAATATATATCTAGCTAGTAAATTTAATATGATCTGTAGTAGTAGTAGTATGAAGAATATAAAAAAAAAATTGTCAAACTTCATCCTGACAGCGTCAATATTGTGGCAGGCTATTGAATTCTGTGCCCAAAGCATGAAGAATAGTGTTTAGAATAAAGGTATATGTGCAGATTTGATTGACTTGCAGATTCCCATTCGCATTTGAAGGGCAGGACAAATGAACACCGCACAACGTATGCTACAATTATAATGCCAGATAATTACATTGCCGTTACGTTATATTAAAATTGTAACGTGTGGCCTAATAAATTTAGATACCGTTCACACATCAAGCAAAGTTTGATGGTAAAATTTTACAACTATGAAAATTCTGTTTACAGATCAAATCTGATGTCAAATTTAACTTTTTTTAATCTAGTATATCCCTAGTAGTATCCATAGAATACTTCGATGCTACTAGGAATATACTGAATCTCAAAATTATATCCAATGTGAGAGAGATTTATTTAAAAATAAAAATAAGTGAAAAATAAATAGTTTAAAATCAAAGGAAAAATAACAATTAACAAACTTTGCTATTTAATTTTTTATTCCTGTCAAAAAGTGTGATAAGAATTGGACAAGACTCAATTTTTGTCATACGATTTTGCTTGGTTTAATTTAAGGTTTGCACTTCAAATTTTCATCCATCAATCAAGCAAAATCCTGAGACTTTGCTTGATGAGTAAACGATGGTTTAATGTTATAAAACGTCAAAAGCGAAAATACTTTTTTTGTTCCAATACCACAAGCTTTTTGAATTTGAAGTTCGGCGGATATTATAAAGAAAAACCAATAGTAGTTTACTCAACATTTTAATTTTTCTATTTTCTGTAATACGTCATCTGAATGGTAATTTTTTACGTTATGTTACTATTACAATTTATATTCGGAAAGTATGAAGTCCGCAAGAAATTTGATCGTTAACTGTAATTCTAATCTTTAACTGTACATACTGTTAAAAAAAAAAATATATGAATGCAAATATTTGGAAAGAAAACTTAAGTAACTTTTACAAACTACATACATATATGTATTATTAAAACTGTTAATTCCGATTTAGTTACGCACCGGCTAATTTTGCTTTTGTTTACATTACTTACCATTCGCATGACGTAAGATTGAAAAAGGAGGCAAGCCATGCGCAAGATATTACCGTGATTTTCTTTTTACAATCGATTACCATACCATGCAGAATCCATCTTAACCACCGCATTGCATGCCGTATGTAACACGTCTTACTCGATGCTTGTGCATTTAATTGGGATTTTAAGTTTAAAAAGAACAGTTTTAATTTTGGCCAATTAAAGTTTGTTTAATCGTAAAACAAAATAATAAAGTTATTCTTAATTTATTTTCCTTTGCTCTCAATTTTGCTGTGGTACTTAAACCTAAAGGAAAATCAGAAAATCCTCCTTTAAAGTAACATAAATTCAATTTCTAAACTAGACTTTGAAGCTCTAGCAATTGTGTTATCTGGGATCGTGGATAAAAAAATCATTTTTTTTAAAATAAAAATTTAATATTTTAGCGTATGAAGTAAAAATTCAAAATACATTTTTTAATTTGTTAATTGGTACCTACATACATACATACATACATATGAATGTATATTCTATACTATTTAAAAATTGTATGTCAATGGGTTTTCAGAAAAATATCCTTTGCTTTCCAGTAACTTTTTTGAAAGTCTTTGATAGTTAACGTCATTTGTTATATATGGTCCTTGCTCTATTTCTTTTGCTAACTCTTTTATACGATCTCTGGCATTTTGAGCTACTGCGGACGCTAATAATATTTCAAAGTCAGATAACTTTAAGCCAATACAGTACGATCTGGACGAACGGGCTAAACATGCAAATGTTGCATAAACCAAAGTCGCCATTTCAGCCAATCGTTTAATTTCAGAATGTTTTTGCACAACTTCACTTCCGTATCGTGTAAGAAGTATTTCTGTACAAGCAAATAATCTATAAATTGAGTGTTCTAAATTTTGTGCTGCTGGTTCAAGTGATGGATGCAAATGCTCATTTAGAAATATGTTGGTTTTTGGGAAATCTATGCTTGTCGATTGGAAAAACTTGTTTATCATATGTTTTGGATGATATAATGGATTCCTTTGCTTGTTAATATTTTCATGAAGAGACATCTGAAATATTAATTTAATTTTTAAATCTTGTTGTAAGTTCGAATATGTCTGATAAAAAATTTTACCCCTGCATGTCTTAACCCTGATAAAGCTACAAAAAGTTTGAGAGAATCTACAGATTCACCTTGTAAATAAATTTGCATTATATTCTTAATAATACTCTCTCCTTCGCGTTCAGGCTGTAAGTATGCTGCCCCTAAAAAATCCATGACTGCGACTGAAGCATTCCATAAAGAATTTTGTGTAAAAAGCTGAAAATAAAATTAATTTTTGTACAACCAATAAAAATTTTAAATATACATACTTTCACCATGGCAGTTTCAATTTCGGTGTCCGGTTTTTCAAATTCATCCATTAAACCTGTGGTAAAGTATATCATACTTTCAATAGCATAAGCGTTACAAACCATTTTAGATAAACATGTTGTTATAGATTCCATATTTCTAAAATTATATTTAACTGAATTGAAATTCACGAATAGAGCATTAATTACAATCTTTGAGAGTTATTTATTCTTGCACGAAATATACCTTAGCTCAATTGCACATAATTTATTTTCAGTAACGTACTTTGTAGCATCATTAATAACCTTTCTTATTAAACCAAAGCCTACATAAGATGACCTAATTCTATGATTTTGTAATAATAATTGAGCCACTTCGGAGCCTTCATTTACTTTTCCAATTATTTCATCTTACATAAGAAATATGAAATAAATATCTACTATAGAAAATATATTTAAATATTTACCATTATAAAGATGGACATTTTCAAACTCAACAGTTGTATAATTCAAAAAATTTTTTGGTGTGTTTATTTTTACGCCTTTTTTTGTTATATCTACTACGAATAAAGTAACATCTTTTAAAGAATCTCCTGAATGGTGTAATTTAGGGGTTTCAGCCAGAACTAGCAAAATATCTACTTTTGGTTGAACTGGTAGCAGAATTTTTTCGCCATTCAAAACCCAAACATCCTGTTCAGCATCAAAATCAGCTGTTGTGTTAAAATAAGGATTATTATTGTTTCTTAGTTCTATCACCGCATCAACAGCCACTAATGATCCTATACTTTAAAAGATATATTACATATAAACAATATTACGTACAAATATATAACTTAAGTTCACCATTTGCTAAGCTCGGTAGATATTTTTGTTTTTGTTCTTCGGTACCATACACATTAATAACATCACATACAATTCTATGACCTAGTAATAATAATGCAGTATCTGGTTGTTTAATTTCAAACTGTGAAGCAATTAAACCCTCCGACCAAATATATTCTTTGCCATCATATATTTGAGAAATATTTAGTCCGAAGAGACCACCTTTTCTTAATTCATCTATCAAGTTATTTTTCAATTTGTTACTATCAGTTTGGTTAAAATTTTCAAAAAATTGTTCAATCATTTTAGTTTCTTCTTGAAGCTTGGACATTTCATCTCTTGATATCACTTCAGGAAATGCTAATAATTCTTTGTCAACATTGCCTAAAAAAAAATTTTTTGCTAAGGGCGGTCTAGCTGGTAATTTTGCTCTTATTTTTGTATGTATAATTTTTTCTTTAAATTGATTTTCATCTTTAATAATTGAAGTTTTTTGCTCATCTGGAATACTTGAATATTTGGCATTTTTGCACAAATTATAAGTAAAACGCTGTAAATTACTGATTCCTAAACGACCCGAAAGCATTCTTTGCTATTTTACTCGCAGAAATTACGGTATGCATTTAAATTGTTGTGACACATGTTATCCAATCCTCATAAATGAAATCATATGTTTCTGACATCAAATTATACATTATATGTACGTACATCCATGATATACATACATATTGGGCATATATAAATTTAAATTTGTGGGGTAGTTGTGCAGCACTTCTCACTTTCTAATCATAATTAAATAGTACAAAGCTAAGAGTATACAATCGTTTGCTACATTCAACTTCAAAAAGTTATTTTTATTTCTTTTGATTTATTATGACATGTTTATAGTTGTAGTCATACCAAAAAATGAACATTCTATTTAATAACGGTAACTATATTTCACCTTACGTATTCTTTTACTGAATAATGACCAAAAACTTTTAGGTATTTCAATTAGCAACATAGAAAAAGTTACGATTCAACAAAATAAGGTAAGATAATTTTTCCTTTACTCGTTCCGTTTATATCAGCAATTCTACGTCATTGTATTTTAACTTGGTAGGTAACTACCCTGCCATAGCTTCTTCATTATGTAAATTATTTAAGGTTATTGATATTAATTGTTTTATTTTGTTGGTATTTAACATTGGATATTATGGAAATATGGTAATTACTAATTAATTAATATAGATTTTTGATTTTATGTGTAATGTATAATATATATGAAAGGACCGGTGTCATAACCATTGTACCATTGGTCGACGCTGTGATCATACTTTGAAAAAATTGTGAGAAAAAAGAAAAATAAAAATTAAAGGGAAATTGGAACTCATTTTTTAGTAGATTTTTGAGACACAAACCTGACAACACTCTTACTTTGATTTGACATAACAAATGCATTACGAAATATATATAAACATATATAAATAATTTAAAAATAATACATACAACTAAACATATGCAAAATTTATAATAAAAGAATGATTGACAAGTATTTGATTCTGGTAAAAGAAAGTTTAAATTGATTCGTAACTTTGAAAATATTTAAAAGGGGTGTTTTCTTGATTTCTGGCTAGTAGTTTTAGATCTTGAAGGAAAATTTTTAAATGTAACACAAGCATGGAACGAAATTGGGAAATTGATGATGGACAAATTCTCGAAGGTTTTTTATGTCCAATATGTAGAGCAGATTTAAAAACCCCAGAAAGACTAACAGATCATGTTGAAAATAATCATGCGGAAGAACAAGATACCTTAAAGTTTTTAAAAGACATTTTTAGTAAAACTCGAAAAATCCTAAATTTTGATGAGACACTTGATCTTGCAAAATCAATTGACAATAATTTGAAGGTAAATGTAAATATACAGGCAAATGTTTTTAATGGTATGGTTCAAACCGTGGGTGCAGATTGTAATCATTTTTCTTATTTTAGTTCTATAAGGTAAAATGCAGTTAATATAACTATATAACTCACAAGTGTTAGTAAATAACATGTTGACTTTAATTTTTAGAACTCCACGTTTAGATCGATATGCAAACGAGACTAATAAATTAATAATAAGATTAAATAAACTATTAAAAGACAGACCAAGTGATCCAATACAGCAAAAACTTCACGACCAAAAAGTAAATTAAGTAAGTTTACATCTAGTATATTTTATAAGAAATTTTTTAATCGCAGACCGTTCCATGGATAGAAGGGGCATCAGTTAAGTTATGCCCAAGTTGTGCAAAAAGTTTTCACATTGCACGTAGACAACATCATTGTCGATTATGCGGATCTATAATGTGCAATGATTGTTCACAATTTCTTCCTTTGAGGGAAGCAGGTAGGTACTTAAAATTTAAAAATTGTTTATTTTGTTTTTCACAAATTACAACTTTTAGCTGAACTAGTAAATGGTGTTATGTCTGTAAATGAGGTAGAAAAAAAATTGGACTCAAAATCTGATACAAATTTAAATACTATACGAGTATGTGACCATTGTTTGCATTTATTGGACGCTAGGAAGGAAATGCAAGATAGCAGAACGTACAGACCACCAATAACAAGTCTTTATGACGACATACAAAATCTTAAAAAGGAAAGTTTTCCAGATATTGAAATGTATGAAAAAATGATAAGTAGTTTGCAAGAAGGAGAATCTATTTATACTGTGAATGATGTTAGTACTTTAAGAGGAAAAATAGGGCATTTAGCTGAATTAATTGATGTTAAAAGCAAAAGAATTCTCGCAATACCTACGCAAGAAGGTTGTCGAGAAGAAGCATTAAAAAAAGCAATTCGTATAGCTAGTATTCAATTTATAAAAGAAAATATGTTGTCAATTTCTAAACTGCCTGTTGAAGAAGAAATTAAAAAATTACAAGAAAAACGACGAAGAGAAACAGAACAAAACATAGAAAGAGAACGAAGATTGGCTCAAGAAGCATTTGAAAGATATGGATTAGTAGATAATTCAATTGTAACAAATAGTCCGGCCAAAGAATCATTTGCTTCTGCGGTATTTAAAAGAAATTATTTTTATTTCTGTTATATAATAAAACCTTCTTATTTTTTAGTCCGGTGTAACAACTCTAGATAATTGGACTACACATCAATCAAATTCATTTAGTGATAATGTAGACCCTCTAATAGAACAAATAAATATAATAAAAGGTTACATTAAACAAGCTAGATCAGCCATGAGATTTAATGAGGTGGAAACCTTAGAGATTAATTTGCGCGAACTTCAACATGAACTTTATTTTAGGCAGCAAAATAATAAATAACATTTTTTATAAATGAAATGTATGGGTACTGGTTTTGTTAGTTGAATCTAAAAACTGTTTTTGTGCAAATTATAAGTATTCAACTTTATTTAATTTTTTAATATACAGCAAATATTTATTTCAAAATTTAAGTATGTAAATATGCTTAAGCCAAGCAAAATTAATATTCCTAATTGGCTGTTATCGACAAATGCATTATATTATTTAAAAATTTTATATATAATTATGTATTAAAATCTAAAATTCCTTTGGTCAATATCAATTTGTTATCCACAATTCAATTTATAGTTAAATATAAAATTTTTCTTCTAATTTTGGTTTTTAAATATTATATAATTATAAGAAAATGTATAAACACGCTTGCTTTCGAAATTTAACATTGTAGGTTATCAGGATTACTACAATTTTTAAATCAATTTAGTAGTCTTATCTCTAATGCAATATGACTATGAATAGAAAGTATAAATGTATGTAATAAAAATATCAAATTTGATAAGAGCATGTGCGATCAGTTATTTTATCAGTTATATTCTTAATTTAATTTAAGCCATATTCAGCAATCAGACTCTGCACTTTTTCTACGTAAGCTTTTTTAGCGTCATCCTGTGACATTCCTTTGCGTGCATTCCATGCTTCCCACTTTGCTTTACCAGCAAAATCAAAAAAGCCCGGCTTTTCTACGAAAATACTTTTATTTACATATTTTCAATATATATATTTATATTAGAGTATACTATTTTTTCGACATATGTATGCATATATATAAGTATTCTAACCTGTATTGCAATCTCCGGTAATGCTTTGTTTATATAAGCTATACAATTCTAAAAGATGATCATCCGATGGTTTGGTTTTTAAGTTTTTTGCATCTTCAGCTGCCTTTTCGAATTGCTGTTGATAAGAAAAATAAGTATATGTATTTTATTAAAATCCGATCTTCATGGTATTGTTGCTTTGAATAGAATTTTAAATATTTTTTTTTCAATTTTAAATTTTTTAACATATGTACCTCCTGTAAAGACATTTTAGCAGTCGTTTGTACAAGTCACTTAACTTTTATGAAGATTATTAATTTTAATTGAATCTAATTGAACTGATTGTACGATTGTGATAGACAATTTCCTGTAAATAAGAAAATAGTGTATAATAAATAACGCAATGTGTTTTGAGTGGCAAATGTCAAATACTGAATTTGTGACATTTGTTTTCTGTGTAGTGTTGCCACTGTTCAGAAATGTGTTATTACATTATATTAATATTTTAAGGTTTTGAGCACAGAATGTGAAAAAAGTTTTAAATTTGATATCTTTTTTACGTTTTTAATACTAAAATATTTTAGAATTTAATATAGTTTTTATCAGAACGAAATTGTGTTTTAGTAAAAATTAGATAAATGTGCTTTTATAAAATTAGTTTTTAAGAGTACTTATCTTTTAAATATTATAATTTTTTTTTATAACTTATAAAAATTTTCGGCAATAAAATTAACAAATAAAAGAGCAAATTGATAAGTAAAAAATTAATTGTCTTTGAATTTTTGGTTTGATAATAACTTTCTATTAATGTCAAGTTTATGAAAAGACTGAACAGACAGGCTTTTTAAGCTAGAACAATATTCCATTCTGAAATTAATTTTTGACGAATTTTGTGTAAATGCGTTTCAGTGAGGTGTACACTTTATAGTGTTCAAAAAAATTAATTTAATGTACACTGTTAGTTATAGAAAACTATGAAGTACTAAGTAGAGAACATTTATTTATGCATATTTTGAAAATAGAAGGAAAATTTTAAATATTTTGTATTGCTTCTTCTAGGTACTCAAATAAAATTGATGAAAAATTTTTTGTTTTTTATAAATGGACTTTTAGAGTTTTACATGTCTGATACTTAAAAAAATCTGTAAATATAAAACATTTTCATTCAAGGAATTTGGTTTAAAAATAGTTATCAATTGCAGTCCCTCGAAAGACAACATTAAACTTCTTATTAAAAATAAAAAAATAAAAGTGTACTCAATTTCCGTATTTTTCATAATATAACTATACTCAACATTTAATAAAAATATATGGCAACTTTTACTTATTACTAGTTAAAGCAAAATAAATTCAATGTCAATCAACGTATGTATATATGTACCTCACACAAATTAAATACATTTTATAAATTTAATAACAATGATTGTCAATCATTGAGAAAAAAATAAACGGCAGAATAAATTCTTGACTTTTCGATTAATTCTTATTTTGTTTAAGGAGAAGTTTTCTAGTACTAATTGAGAGAAAAAATGACTACTAAAGAACCTGATGATTTTGATAATCAAAATAGATCAAAAGAACATTTTGTGCACTTATTTTTATTGTACTTAAGAACTCTATGTAAGTAAAAATGTAAATTTTATTTTAAATATTATGTACCTATATACTGTAAAAACAAAAAACAAGGATCCATATAATTCAGGCTTAAATTACCGTTATAAAGTAGGAGTTAATCTAAATAATAAACAACTTCTAAGGTTGGTGTTGGCATATGCATTACATGACACCAGTTCCATGATTCGTAGACTTTAAAATTTATACGGTTGTACGAATTCTACTGTTTTCTTTGCTTTTGTTGATAGACAAATAAATTTAAAAAAATAGTTTTTCTTTTAATATTTGTTATATTACATGTATATATATTTTTAGGGGAAAATATAAAAACAAATGGTGAAATATTTTTGCAGCGTATCGGAGCTTACGAAGTATTAGAATCAGTTGCCCAAATGTCAGCAAAGCACCCGTATTTGGCATTAGTAGTCTCTGTTTTAATTGCTACATTTGTTCTTCCATTTTTAATTATATTTGGGTTTGCCTTGCTTGTCGTGATATTAACGTTTACAGGATTTATATTAATCGAGGGTAAGTTGTGATTGATATAATTTACAAAAAAATCTTTTGAAAAATCGTTAATAATTTCCATTTAAGGTACTTTAATCACTATTGTCTCAGTTTTATTATTTGGTTGTTTGGCAGCTGTATTGTTGGTCCTTTTATTTTTTGGTGGACTTACACTTGCTAGTTATTTAGGATTTATGCATGTGTTTGATCTTTATAATGGAATCAATAAGACTGCGATTAAAAATTTTTTGAAAAAAGAAAATTCACGAACTTAAGATTTTGCTAGCCAAAAATTCTTTTACATTTAGATCATCAATTACTAAGAAGTAAAAAGGAATCTCATAACTTTATATTCGTTATAAATATTTGTTTGTATCTATTTAACGATAATTTAAATAACTTACTTAAAGTTGCAAAACATAGTATTAAAAATAAATTTCTTGTATTAATATGCCGTCTATCAATAAATCATAAACATTATAATATATTGATTAGTTTTATTTTATTACAGAAAATGAAACAGGAAATAATTTCTGCACTGATTATGCCTTTATGTATAATTTTATGTAGTACTATATATAAGATCAATTTAAAAAAATTCAAGAAAACTAAATGGAACTATTTTTTTATTTATTATGTAAAAATTTTAATTGAAAAATTCAGTAAGAATTTTGATTACGTGGATTACGTGTTATGAAAATGTGAAGCTATTTGTGACCGCATTTTTTGGGAGTCCAATGCTTGAATGGACTCACAAATGATTTATTATTTTAAACATTTTGTTATTTTTATACTACATACATAGGTCTAAACATTTAAAGGTGAAGTAAAAAAATTCTGCAATTTCAATCCCAAAAACTTGAAACAAGCGAACTTTATGGAAAAGAAAACGAAAATTTTATGGAAAAGAAATTATTTTTTAGATTTTGCATCAGGAGTTTGAATAAAAATAATAAAAATGCTATTAAAAAAACGCATAAGTATATTTTTTGACACAAATATTATACTTAAACCTATTTTTAATCTTTTTTAATTTTTTTGTTTTTCAATTTTTTTTACGATCTATCTTAAATTGTATTGGTTTTTTAATTAGAAATATTACAATTTAAAATGACTGCTTAATATTATTTTTTATATATTACAAATGAAATTGTAAAGTTAAAAACACTTTTCTATTTCACTAATTAATTATTTTGTTTTTTTTTTCCTTCATCCCAATTCGAATTTGTATTTTTAAAAATTTTTATATTTAATAATTTTAAATTTTGAATTATCTAACTTTTCAATTTCATTTTGTCACAAAATATGTGTGAATGTATGTTTTAACTGTAGTCAAAAGTTTTTGATTAATTATCAAGGTCCGATTATCATAAGTTTTATATAATATCAAGGTAAACAAAATAAGTGAGTATGTAAGTAATTATAGTCATTTCGAAAGTAATATTAAGAATTTCTAAAAAAATTTACCATGCAAAAAGTTTTTACTATTTAAAAACAAAGTTTCACAAAACAAAATTTTTGGAAAAGGAGGAGGAATTCGCCAGAAGTAAACAATAAATACTTTAAAAATGATAAACGCGGTCATTTTTTTTATGTTTAACAAAACAGAATTTCAATGAATTTCTAATTTGTTGAATATCTTAAAATTAAAAAAACTTCATTTAATTTGAGAAAAAGACACTTAAGTTTCCCTAATATACAACATAATTATATTAAATTTTGCGCTGCAACATACGCACTTTATTACAGTTGATTTTTTTTCTGAAAGATGAAAACTAAAAAAACATTTGGTTTATCTAAATTTGCAATAATTTTAATTTAATAAAAGTTGTAGAAAATATTATTTCAAGTATATTATTATTCTGGAAAATCATAGAAAATATTTTTTTTTATAAATGTAAGTAATATTAAAAATTGTAATGGAATATTTTATCATTGGAAACGAAGCAAAAATGTAATTTCAGCAAATTTTGTAAATCAAAAAATCATTTGTATACGATATTAACGCCTTACAGTTATCTATTTATTAGTTTATTCCAGTGCTTCTCACAGACGAGAGAAAATTCATTTGAATAGTTTCTTGAGTTCATTTTTGCTCAAGTAATCTGTTTCAATTTTTAAATAATAATATATTTAAATTGTATTCTTAAATAACAGTTATAATATTAGACATTTTTTCATTATTATTTTTACGTTTTCAAACATAAAAAACTTTTTGTCCAAAAACAATTGATTAGGGATTTCTATTTTACTCGCCGGGATTGATTAGCTGGTATACTACATACATATCTCGTTTTTTCTGAAATTTATAAAATTTGCAAAAAATTTAATCAATATTTCTTCACTTTGTTTTTAAAAATGATGGTTTCAGTCACGATAGTTTGAAAAAAATCTTATGAATAAAATGAATATTGGTAAAATAAAATATTTTTTTGAAAAAAAACGAGAATTCTGATTTGAAAGTGAATAAAAAGTAAGATAAAAAACATGGGACCCACGAACGATGCTTTTATTATTTGAATTTGATTGATCAACAATAATTTGAAAACTAATAAATAAAAAATTAGTAAATAAATTTAATAGACGTTAAAATATCTTTAAAAAAAATTAAAGCTTTATTTTTAAGATTACCAGATTTGGAAAAACAAAAAAAAGGAAACTGGAATTATTCGTTGATTATTTTAATCGAAATCTGCTGACAATAAATTTACAATTAAATTTGAGTATAAATTTATATGAACATATATTTGTAACATAATTTATTTTAATATAGGAGAAAATTAAAATAACACAAATGTATATTAATAAATTTGCATTTAGTAACAATTTTTGAAAATAATATTGTAAAAATTATTAAAATATTTTTAAATATCGAAATTAATCTTTTATTAACATTATCACAAAGACTAATAAGTTATAGAACTTTTTAATGTTCAAGCGTTCGACCAAAAAGAAATTAAAATACAAGAGAATAATAATTTAATTGAATAATATTTTACAACAACCGCAAAATATGAAATTTGATGAGATCATATTCTTTTCATAGAGTGTCCGTATAGCATTAAATTCCTACATGAATATTGTTACATAGAAGGAAATTTTTGAACCTTATGATCTTTATTTTCTGTTTTTTCTTGTACGTGTTTTTGTCGCTATTTTCTTGTGACATAATACAAAAATCTAATGGGTAAAATAAAAAAAAAACTATAAAATAAAAGTATGTATTTGTTTATTTGATTAATAATAATAATAAAAAAAAAAAACAAAAGAAAAAGATTACATTTGTTTTTGAAATTTGTATATTATTTTTTTAATATAATGTCCTTAATTTTATATAAAATATTTTAAAATTCTTATTACTTTTTTTTTTGTATTGTGTTTCAAACGGAAGATATGATGATTTTATAAAATAAAAGGCAATGTTATTATATTTTATATTAAAAATAGATTCAATACAATTGGATTTGTGTTTTCTTAAAATCAAAGAAAGAAAAAATTGTTTTCGCTTTTTTAACTTAATCATAAATTTGTAAATTTTTTATTAATACATTTAATATTTTTTTTTCAATTTCTTATTTTAAGTATATTTGAAATTGATTTAATTTTTTTTTTTTTTTGTAATTTTGTTTCTTAAAATTTAAATGCAAATCTTAATGTTAAGGAAAAAAAAGATTATCATCGTTACCCTATTATTGAAAATGTAATCGATAATATGAAATGCGCGTTGAATTCTTTTGCATCTTAATTGATATTACAATCAATTAACAAAAGCATTGTAATTTTTAATGTTGTCAACAGCTGATGTCTACATTTGTATTGTAACAAGATTTATTTTGCCTGTCATATTGTTAAAATCCTTTTAAAAAAAATTTCATATTAATTAAATTTTATAATAAAAAAATTTCAACTGTAGATTTTGTTTTTTGTGCAAAATGGAATATTTTGAAGTGGATAAGTGAATTTTATTGAATGAAATCTAATTCTAGAAATATTCAAATCAAAAATAATATGTTGTTAAACCAAGCAGTTGCATGCAAAACTTGTATACGAAAGTTGTTATATTAAAAAGTATTTTTTAGCATAAATTGGTGATTGCCAATTAGTGACCGTCGATCGGCAATTTCACATTATCGGTTACACATTTAAATTCATACATTGAAATTATTTATTTAACTTTCATAAAAATATTTTGGAATATTTTTGTTTTCGATTAAAAATCAGTATGAAATTTTATTTGCTTAATCATTTTACCTTTGATATTTGTTTTTTTTTTTGTTTTTCAAAATGAATTTAAAAAATAGGGTTTCAATTATATTATATTTTTTAATTGTTGTAGATGATTTTGTTTTTAATTCTTAATATCTAAATGAACACTTAAATATGTGTTATTATTTTTTAAATTATAATATAAACGACAAAAAAAAATATAGTTAAAATATTTTTCTTTTTATGATATGATTTATAATTAAAAAGTTTTGTTAAAATTTTTATTTTTGTGGTTTTTGTTTTGTTAGTTTCATAAATCTAACAGTCAGTATCGTACCAAGCTGCCAAATTATTGCTGTCATTAGGTGGTGTTGGCATAGCATCCAGATCAAAATTCAATTCACCTGCTCCAATTTCACCAACATCCATATCCATTGCATATGGCGATGTTGGGGCTCCCATCGGGGGTCCAATACCGCCACAAACACCACCACCACCAACATTCCCACCACCAGCATTACTACCAATTTCAAGGCCTTGCATTGAATCTATCGGTAAAGTATCGTATCCTGTTGTGATGATCAAAAAGTAATTTTAGGAATAAACAAAAAAAAAAAAAGAAAAAATATGAAAAACAAAAATAAGTAAATAATAATTTAAAAAAAAAATTAAAAAAAAAAATTTATATTAGTAAATAGCTTAAGTATATTAAAATTAGTTTATGTATATTAATTAAGTTAATTTTTTTATATAAAAAAAAAAATCAGATAATTTGAAAAATTAAAATTAGAACAAAAAAAAATGAAAGAAAAATGAACGTGCAAGACGTAAGGAACGAGCGACTTAATATTTTCTTGAAAAGAAATATTGAAAAATTAAAGAATTTGAAAATTTAAACTCAATTGATAGCAGAATATTTTAGAAATTCAATTAAATTAAATATTATAATATTTTAATGGAGTTAAATGAGACTAATTCTACTGTCAAATGATTGAAAACTTTCCCTTTGTATTCTTTAATTTTATTTTCAGTTCAAGTAAAATATTTTAGAAATCATGATGCAATTGATAGAATCTATATTAGAGAGAAATTATTTTAAAACCAACATAATATAAAAGTACAACTAAATTTATTTTTCAAATTTTAATGCAACAAAAATGCGTAAAAAATAAAAATTAAAAATTTGCGTAGCTTAAAAACTCAATGTTCCATTTCATTACAGATAATTTAACCACTTCAAAAATTATTTTGTTGTATAAAGTAAAATTTATATTAAATTAGAGTTTTTATCTACACAACAATTATAAAAATTTTTGAAAACCAAATTTTTCAAATTGATTGATTCAGTAGTAGGATCAATTAAATAAACAAGCAATAAAAATAATATGGAGATAATAAGAAATAATTACATTTCAACTTGAAATATTTCATATATTTGTAGTTAAAAATGTAAAAAATTACAAAAATATAAAAAAAATTTAATAATAAATTCAAAACACAGAGACACACAAATTCTATAAAATATACTTAATTATCATCTAGCAGGATTCAAAATTTAGAGTTTTATGTGTGTTAAAAATAAAATCAATATAAAAAAAAAACTGAAAGAAATAAAAAAATTTAAATTGACAAAAAAAAATAAACAAATTACGGATTTAAACTAAAATCGTTTTAAGCAATAATATTTATCTATCGATTAACGACTAGCATTGTTATGTCAAACTTGAGCAAAATACAATTTCTTTTGTTTTTCATGTCGTTTAAATATTAAAAAGAAAACAAAAACCAATTTGACAGTATGTCGTTAAATGTATGTAGTAACATACAAATTATCATTAATTATATTTAATTACTAGAGATTCGAGATTTTCAAAACGCAATATTGCAAAACTGCGAAACACAATGCAGAAAAAACATAACATAATACTTATACACAATATACATATTTTTAATTATTCTATAAAATCAAAATAATTCATAAGATTTAATTGCAATATTCATACTAATTTCGCTTTATTGTGAAAATTTAGTAATTTTTATGAACAAACTAGATCCACAACATTTGTTTGTGAACATGCAGTTTTATCTATATATCGCGATATACATACTGCATTTATGAAATGGCCTACTTGTTTCTGCAATATTTTTTAATAAATAATATTTCAAATTAATATGCTGTTGGCATGTATGTATAATAAGGATTCCTTTTTAAAAACGATCTTTAGATATCAAAAATAGTATTGTATGTTTCATAAATAAAATCCAAACAAAACACAAAAAAAAAAAAAATATTTTTATAATTATGTACTTAATATTTAAAAAGAAAATAACTACACATTTTAAACTTCTTCTGAAATCTTTTTTTTATAATAAACAGATAGTTTATACGTTTTTATATACATAAAAAGAATTTTTAAAATAATAAATATAAAACCTTCTATATTATTATTGTGATTAAAGTGTGTTTCATAAAAACACAATTCTAATCTCAATCATTTTATTTTTCAGATTTAATTCGAAATTTTTTATGAATTGAAATTTATACATTTAATTTTAGAGATTTGTCAAAAATTTTAAATCGCTTTAGTTTCTTAACTAATCACTTTAACTATGATTTTTCGAGAAAAGATTTAGAAATACGTACTTTTAATTGGCTAAAGTAAGGAAATGTTAGAATTGCATTTTTATAAATACCAATAATGTATATTTTCGTAATATAATTCTTTTCTTTGCAAAATATTTACATAAATATAATTATTTCATCTCTAATATCTACCGTCATCCTCAAGTCGATATGAATTTTAAATAAATTTAATTCAAAATTATCTAAACATTATGTATCTATTAACATATTAATATAATATTATTTTTAATAGTTACAAATCCATTATAAAAGTTTTATAGAATTTTAAAAAGCAAATATTTTTTTAGGGCTAAATTTGTGTCAGTTGTTATAATGAGTAACAAAAATTTCATTATTAAATTTATAAGATACAGAATTAAAAAAAAATAAATTTACATTGTGTTTGTAAACAAGTCAGAAAGAAAATTTCAAACAGAAATTAATCAGCGTTGAGCTAATTAATAATGTTATTTTAAACCAACAGAGTTTTAATTGAAAAGAAGGCAAAAAAAATTTACTTTTAAAGCCTTTTTTATTATTGTAATCGTTTGCAACAATCAACGATTGAACAATGGAATTAATAAAATTAAATTTTTAAAATCAAGATTTTATAAAATGGAAACTGTAATTTTTTTTGCGGGTAACATAAGCATGTTAATGTTACACTCAAATAAAACCTACGTGTATATAAAATCCCAACATTTTTCCATGTTATTCGTACAATACAAAGCTAATTTTCTTTCTAATATACAATTTCATCATTGTATTATAGGCCAAAGAGATGAAAAAGTATCTATTAAAAATTTAAAGACCAAAATTTCTAATTTTATAATTAATCTAAGTGTAAAATTTCTAATGATTTTGCAATACGAATGTTTATAACTATATCGAGAAACCAATATCGTTGATCACACCAAAAAACCATCCGTAAAAAAAAAAAAAACAAATTGCTATAAAAATTTTTTTGAACCTTAAGATTTGGTTTCAAAGTAGAAAGAAAATTCAAAAACGCAGTGATCGTATAATATAAATAAATATTTGTCAATTTGTAACTTTTATGTATATACATGTATAATTTATAATTTATGTTTTACAGATTTTAAAATTTTGACGAAAATACTCAAAAATTTGCTTTTTTAATAATAATTTTTTGTTCATTTTTATTTAAAATTTATGAAATTTAAGAAATCAAATCTTTATCAATATTGTAAAAAAGAATGTACAAAAAGTCAATCACATATCAGAGTCATGATTCATAGGGTTACAGCGATGCCGTTATAATAGTTGAATCGATGCGGAAAATTTTACGTTTTTGAATTTCCTTTAGATATGTGACGAACATACAAAAATGTATAGTACAATTATTATTGTTAGAAAAATAATGGAAATTTTCATTATCTATTTTTCATTCCATAAAAAAAAAAAACTCAATTCTAACATAATAAATTAAAAAAAAAAATAGTAAATCCCAATTATTCGTCTCTTGTTTTGTATATAAAAAAAAAATCGCAAAAAAAAAAAACGAAAAAATTTCAAAAATCTTAAAAACATTTTTTATAATTGCAAAAAATATTAGAAAAAAAAATTTAATCTTGGAACACAATTTCATGCAAATTATCAAAAGAAATTAAAAATATATAAAATTATTTTAAATTTTATATGCCAATTATTTATTATATCACAATTATTTGTACAATAATTATAAAAAAGAAGTTTTTTTTTTATATAAAAAAAAAAAAAGAAATTAAATTTGAAATGATTTAAACGTGATATTTGAATATATTTTGCATTTCAATAACATTAAAATTATAAACAAAAAAAAAAAACCAAGAAAAAATTAAAAAAATAATTTTGGAAAATTCTTTTTTTTCTGACTGTATAAAATAATTTGTTTAGGGTTTTTATTTTTTTAATTATTTTTTGATACCAAACTAAGAATGAACAACTAAAACTTAATAACTTTGTTTTGTTTCCACATAAATTGTACCCATTTTAACTTCAAATCATTGTGTATTTTAATCAATTTCAATAATAATAAATAGTATTTATTTTTTCAATATTTGTTAATACTGGAATTAATGTATTTTTGATAATTCAGTTCTGTTTCAGAACTTAATTTTTAACAACTGCAACTATAATCAGTTTTCAAAAATTAAGTGTAGTTTTAATTGACTACTCCAAATAAAAAAATCAAAGTGTCAAAGGGTTTAAAAAAAGTTATTAGAATAAGTTTTGTATTTTCGTTTTTAGTTAATATGTATTTTAAATTCTATAGGTAATGAAATATTGAATTTTTTTAATTGAATAAAAACATATGACTTCAACAACTGCAAAAATTTTCTTTAGCAGTAGAGAAAAAAACTACTACAAAAACTTCAATGTTTAATGCTAAAATTAATTAAGTTCTAAGTTAATAACGCAATAGAAAACTGCATTTTCAAAGATAACCTTAATAATAACATCAAATATGACTTTCTTAATTTAATGTAAATAAAGTTTGCTTTCAAATGAGATTGAGTTTGGAATAATCTTTATATTTCAGGCATAATTAAATTTTGTGAAAGTTGTAGTGTTTGCGAAACGTATAAGTTCAAACTAATTTGAATTTTAGTGATTTTGATTCACTGTTGAAAATTGATTTTTGAAAAGCTTCAACCGAACTTAAGTTATATTGAAAAAAATTTCAAGAATAAGTTCCAGAGCAATTAATTACAAAATTAATATCAGGTCCATTATAAACTCTTTAAGATTTAATTTTAAATAATTAGTTTTGTATGATTACAATCAATATAAGAGATTTTTATAAACGCAATGTATACTGCAAATTAGGTTGGCAATTAAAGTAGTTTTCGCTATATATCGTGATATACTACGTTTATAAAAAGGCCTACAATTTGAAAAAAAAAAAAATTAAAAATTTGGAATTTCGAAATTGATTATAAAATTTTGAAGTTTAAAAGGTACAATATATTTTATATATGCATGTGTATGTAATCAGTTTTTTTTTTGAAATCTTTAGATAATCACCTATATAATTGTTTGCCTTTTATTTAATATTATCGTCTTTATTAAATTCGAAGTTGGTTGTGCTTTGTTTAATGATTTTTTTTTTGGTTTTTTTAATTAATTTTTTTATAACTTTTGCTTTTGTTATTTTTATTTTAAATATTGTTAAATTAAAAAGAAAAGATTTCTTTGGTTGATTGGTTTTTTTTTGGATTTTTTGCTTTCACTATACTAAAGGTTTTTTTTTTTTTGCTTTTTTTTTGTTTTGATTTTAATTTTAACGAATTTGTATTGTTACTTGTATTATAAATAATAATTATTTTTTTAATTTTTAGATTAAATATTATATTTTATATCCCATATTTTAATTTTCCATTGCATTATGATTTAGTGATGATATATGTTAGGCTGGCTTAGCTAAAAAAGAAAAAAAGATTTCAAATAAAAAGAAAATTTTATTTTACATATTTTGCAAGTATTTTTCTTTTTAATTTCTTTTAAAATTATTTGTTTTTGTATTTTTCATTTTTCTATAAAAAAAAAAAAAAAGAATTTATGAACTATGTCTGGCAGAAAGTTGTTGTTTGTATTTAAAAAGAATCATCAAAACTCCGAATTATTAATGCTATATTTTAAAATTTTTTTTTGTTTTCAGAAAACTAAATCAACTTGGATTCAAGAATTTAAGCTTTAAATGAGAGATATAATATATAATCATGTAATGTTCAAAGGTGTGTAGTTACATTTCTCTAGGTTTTTTTTTTAACTTTTTTCAATATAACGACAGGTCAACAATAAAAGAAGGGGGGATTTTGTGGGAATACTTGTAAGAAATCAAAAGTAATTAAAGAAATACACAATTAAAATAAGAACGAAAATGTTAAAAAGAAAAATGATTATTATGTTATTAACAATTATGATATATGGCAAAGAATGGCAGATAAATTAATTAGTGGGGGGTGGGGGCGGGTAGGTTTCGTGTTGGTTGTAAGTGAAATGTTAAGTTATTGTATTAATTTAATACTTTTCTTAAATTTTTGTTTTTTTCATACAAATCATCATCAGCATTGAAATTTACATTAAGCATTGAAAATAACGATAAAAATTAAATAATAAACATATTAAAACTTATTTTTCAGTAAATCGATTATGATAAAAAGAAAAACAAGATAAAATAAAATGATTTTTTAACAGTGCACAGAAATTCGATTAATCTACAAAAGGGAGATAATCAATTTTCAAAGAGGGTTGTACTTATAATAAATTGGTTTTTGAGGGGGAAGGGGTTCGGTACTTAATAATTAAAAAAGAAAATGTCTAATGCAGATAACATTTTTTAACAGAAATTAAATTTTTACAATTTTAAATTCTTATATAAAACACAAATATGGTTGTTTTTCTTTAAAAAAAAGCATTGGACAAACTACATTTAATTACTTTAATTTTAAATTTTCGCAGATTCATTTTATAATTAATTAGATTTTACTACTTGGGAATTAAAAAAAATAAGTAAAAATTTTACCGTTTTTTTGTTATTTTGCAAAAAATGTTTAAATTTTAATTATGTTTTGTACAATTTAACAAAGATTACCATCATTTTGGATTTTGAAATAGCTACGTTAAAAATTTCTATTTTTTTCTATTTGACTTTTAATTTTATACCAAAAAAGAGAAAAAAATGAAGGAGGGAATACTTAATCCTCATAGTTAAAAGAATAAAGGTTAAAAAACAAAAATGAAAATTAGAATAATTTTCAGTTTTCTGTTCGTAAAATTAAATATCAATAGAATATTAATTGATAAGAGTATAAATTTTATGATTTGACTTATTTTCTCAAATGGCATATTCGCATTTTACCAATTATTTATAACAAATAAATTTAGATATTTCATTCGATTTAGTATACGAATTTACATCTCTTCTGTAAATATCACTAAAAATATAATTAGGAAGGCAATAAATTAATTTATTTTGTTACATGAATGATAATTTGAATAACTATGATGTAGCAATTTAATAATAGAACATAAAATAGAAATTTTTAATAAACGGTAAAAGCTTAAAAAAAAAACTGGGATAAATTTATAGTCTAGCATTTTTTTTGTTTCTGATTGTTTTTTTTTTATGAAAAAAAAAGTAAATGAAACCTATACCTTTTTCACAATTATTATTGTGTTTGTTGGATTCAGCGCAAATTTTATTAACCATATTGTTGATGTTTCAAATTTTCAACATTGTCGGTAAATCGATTATAATAATAATGAAATTAATTACATAATAATTATAAAGTTAAAGCAATTACATACTTTTATATTTTATATTCTATATTTTTTTGCTTTTAAATATTTAAAATAAAAATAGATTTTTAAAACTCCTCGTTTTATTTCGGGATAAAGAAAAGTATAACCATAGCATTCAAAAAAATAACATAATTATAAAATATATAAATTTATATTATATAAAAACATTTGTTTTCTAAACAATTATAATACAAAAAAAAAAAGGAATTCCTTTTTGAGACATTTTTTTTAAATTTTTGATTAATTGTGGTCAAAAGTTATAAATTCTTAACCACTCTGTAATACAAACCATTTTATGTATGTTATGTAATCTGTTTTCTTATTGAATATTTTATATTTTTTTAAGTGTGTTGTGTAAGTGGTGCATTTTGGTGCATTCATTATGACATTATTTATATATAAAAAAATGTAATCAATCAATAAATTCAAATATTTCAATCAATCCTTATTGTTTTATTTAAAAAAAAAAAATAAGTAAATAAATAAAATCTCCATAAATTTTTATTTAGTTAAGTAAATATTGTTGAAAAATCTGTTAGTATAATGTTAGGTTATTTTATATATTTTATGTGAAGTTAATAATAAAAAAAAATGTTATTTGCGTGTTAACTTAATTATAAAAATTATTTAATATAGAGTTCAATTACGAAATTTGAATTGCCAATAATTGAAGTGTATTATAGCTATATTTTACCTATAATTTTATTTTTTTTTTGGAATCGATCAAGTAAAATGTCGATTGTCAATTCGTCAACAATTATCAATTAGGTTAAATATTCATAACTGAACTACTATTGTAATATAAGTACACATATATATAAATATAATATATATATATATATATATATATATATATATATATATATACATAAATATAATCATATTATTTCGTATATGATTAAATATATATATATATACGAGTCTTAAACAGCACTATAATAATTTATTTAAAATTTTACTTATTATAATTATTTTTAGTATTTTTCGTTTTTGGTATAAATATTAACATGCAACTTAGTTTATAGATACATACCTTGCTGGAAGGCTCGACCTCCATGTGAGCTGTGAACACTGGGAGGGCCTTGTCCATATAAACCCTCGTATGCTTGATCTGGCCCAAGCATATCCTATTTTGTGTGATTTTAGGTTTTTTTTTAATATTTTCAAACAGTGCAAAAGAAAATCATAATCCGCGATTATTTTGTTGAATTAAGTTGGGTTTTTTTTCGGTTATGTTTTTGATTTTTGGTGCCGTTTATAGGATTTTTTATTTTTTTTTATTTTCATTTTGCAAGTTTTACGATATTTTGTTTTTTTTTTTTTGGTTTTAGTTGTTAAAATTAAATCAAAAAACACCGAAACATAAAAAAAAAAAGAGAATTAAAAAAATTTAAAGAAAAAGTAAAGAAAAATATAATGAATATAATGAAAGTAATAAAAAAATTAAATGAAAATGAAAAGAAAAAAATGTGATAATTAATTATTTAATAATTATTATATTTATTTTATCTATTTATGGAGAAAAATTTTAATTGGAAAATGAGATTAAGAGAAGTTTATATTTTTTTTCAAAACATAAAGTCGTTTATAAAAAAATTTCTCTTAGATAAATTTTAGATTTATAGGGAATTATGAATTGTATAAAAAATGTATACTTTTTACTTTAAAATATTTATGCAGCTTTTCTATGTTTTTAAAATATTTTTCATTAATTTTTTAAACATTATAAAATAAATTTATTAGTAAAATTTATTTGTTTTATTAGAAATTAGTATTTGCATGACATTCGAAACGATTTTAGCTTTATGTCGCATAATATACCAAATATGTGATATAAATTGATATTTAAATTAGATTCAAAACTTTAATTTTTAAAAAATATTTAGAAGATCAATTGAATTAAATTTAGAATTTAAAACTAATTAACAAAAAGTACAAATAAACATAGATAGTAAGAGAAATGTCAATCAAAGCTTTTTGGAACGTTGAAATCTTTCAATAGCTTTCAAATTGTTTCTTTAACTAAGACCTTAAATTTTATTTTAAACCAGTTAATTATAATGTAATAAATTTACTTATTTACGATATAAAAATTTTGTATGAAATGATAAATAATTCAATTGTAAAGATAAAATTATAAATTCCTAGTATATTTCTAGTGAAATTAATTCTGTGAATATACATTTTTAAAATAAATATGTACCTTGCATCACAAACTGAAATTGATATTTCTGAATACACATTGAAATTAAATATAAATATTCGAATGACTTGGAATTATTTCGATTATTTTAATTATATTATTTAGTGAAAACTACAAAATTAACTGGTTAGTATAATAGATTAACTTCTCACCCAATTGCATTTTTAATATTTTTAATTTATACACGAATGGTGCAATTAAGTGAAATAAAAAATAGTGCCTTAGAAATGTTGTGTATTTTTTTTCAAATTGGATTTGGTATACTTGAATATTTGAGTTTTAAAACTTGTAAATTTCTTAATATTATTTACAATTGTTTCTTTTTTAAGAAAATTAAAAATATTTTAAAACAGAAATAATTGAGAAAAATGAAAAACACATATAGATGACCATACCTTTTTTGTTTTTGGTTATTAAGATTTTAACAAACAGGAAATTTCATGAATTTAATATATTTATGTACTATACATACATATCTATACGTATTTGAATGTATATTTTAAATATATAACATTAATGTATAATTTTACAGATAATATATGTAAAGTATTTACATATTATTTTTTTTATGTATGGGGGAACATAAAAAAGTTATTGATTCAATTTTTGAATAATACACAAAACAAAATTTATTCATAAAATTGGACACATTTATATAGAAAATTGTAAAATTAAATTCAGCTTACCTGCAAATCAGGCCCCAGGCCTAAATCTGTGTTATCCCATATATTGCTTTCTTCACGTAACAAAGAATTTGTTAATTCAATCGATAATCGTTTTTTATAATCTTGAGGTTTATCCTCGCTCATACGGAATAGTACTGCAGCGGCATATGTTGCAACACCTTCATTTCGTGAATGTAAAAGATCTGTTAAAGGCCCAGTCGCTCCCTCTTGTTCTATTATTTCAGCTCCTTCTTTATCAGCTGCCAGTTCGCATAAAACGCCAGCAGCAACTCGCTAAAAATGTAAATTTAAAATAAAATCATTTTAATTTTGTAAATATTAAAATAGAATTTAAATTTTTCTAATGTTTATCAAAAATTTTTAAAATATAAAAAAATGAAATTTAACCTGTATATTTTCAATTTCATTGAAAAGTAAACGGACAAATATTGGAATAACCGTTTGTTGGCGTATTAGAGCACGATTATGTGATTCTCTTGCCAGAATATGTAAAGCTCCCACAGTTCCTTCAACAATTTCTTCCATACGAACCCCATCTGCATAAGCACATGGTTGTTGCGATCCAGTGCTTGCGACGGAGGATCGTTGCTAGAATTAATGATTAAATGAAATATAACATTTTTTTTTATATATTAGTTATTTATAAATTTCTATTAACGAAAATATTAAAACAATAAAGTTTAAAAAGACCAGTTTTTCATTTTAAAATTTTATTTACTTACCCTCTCTGTGTCCTGAAAAGCTCTCATCAAGAGTCTAACCAAATGATGAATTGCCCCATGTTCTCTTAATGGTGCATGATTTGCGGGACAAAGAGCCAAATTACGAATTAATCCGATAACAGCTTTGATTAATGGCCATCTGGATGGTGGATGCAAAAGTTTTACAATAACTGATAAACCATAATTTAAGCGAACGGCATTTTGAGCCATTTCGGAGTCAACATGACGGGATGTTAAGTGACGTAATGCACATACTGCTGGTTCTGTAATTTCCTCGCGATCACCAGCATTGATAATCGTTCGAACCAAGGCATCAACTCCTCCAACTTGGCAAACTGTCGCTTTATTACGTTGATTATTACAAGTAAGATTTGATAAAATTCCAGCAGCACATGTAACAACATTTGCATCAGTTGAGGCCAATACTTGAACAAGACTTTGGAGTAATCCTTCCATCCCATCAACTTTCGTTGCGGCATCAGATAAATTACGTAAAGTCCATAAACAATTCTGCACCAAACGCGCAGATTGATTGCCTAAATGCATTGCTAATGCTTGCATTCCACCAGCATCGACAATTGCTGGTTTATTGCTTGAGCAAACAGATAAAACTTTCAATACACGAGATGTTGTCCATAACAATTTCTCATAATCATATGAGCGCATGATACGAACCAATTCGATAGGACCGCCAGAAGCTAATATAATTAATTTGCTTTCTTGATTTCCGTATGCCAAAATTTGTAAACAATCAGTAACAATGGCTAAGAATTTTACATTATTACGTTGTAAGAGTGTGACCATTTTTTGTAAACCCCCAGCTAAACGAACCGCCATTTTAGAGCCATCTTGATGTAAAAGTAAATTATGTAAGGTAGTTATAGCATAAAATAATACAGATTCTACCGGTGACGATAATAATTTTACTAGTGCTGGTATACCACCACTTTTAAATATAGCCAATAAACCTTGACGATGATGAGATAAATTATGTAAAGTTCCGACAGCCCCTTTAGTTGTTTCCAAATCATTGCTATTCGATATTGCACGAACTAAAGCTGCAACCATCTGAGGACTATTCATAATAGCGTGACGTGAAGCTTCTTTCTTTGATAATTGATGTACCATCATTGCAGCTTGTGATACAACAACTTGATCTTCATCATTCAATAATTTTATTAATTCAGGAATGGCACGTGTAGCCAACTCAGCATCATCTTGATAATTAATTAAATTTACAACGGCATGTTTTAACATCTGCGATGGTTCAGACAGACGTTGAACAGCAGTCGGTTGTTGTGGATCAAATTGTGTTGATGGAATTTCAATTCCTTCTTCTAATGTTTCAGGAAACATAGCAGCTCGTACTCTTTGAGAACGTGTTTGACTTAGTTGTTGATTCATATCATCAACTTGATCTTGTGTAAAATTTTGTGGAAAACCTTGATCCAAATCAAACATCAACGGATCACCATCCATACCATCATCTTCTTTACCACTTAATGATGGCACTTGAGTGACAGCACCTGAATGAATTCCTGAATCTCCCATATATGAATTTTGCTGCCACATTAAAGTTTGCTCCTTTGCCGACACCATTGGTAAATCTGGTGGATTGTATTGATTGTGCGGCACTTAAATAAAATAAATAAAAAAAAAAATTGTTATAAAAGTTTTAAATTATTATTTTTTTAGTTGATTTATTTTTAGTAATAAACAATTATATCGAATGTTTATAAGTTTACATGTTATAAAACATAATTAATTTTTTGAAAAGTATTCAATGCTATATATAATTTAAATGATGCACATTATTTTAAAAATAATTATAAAATATCAGATTCTTCTTATTTCTTTCACAGTTTCTTGAATAGTGAACTGAAAAAGTAATAACCGAAGTCTTGTATAGCCCTAAAAAACTTGGTTTTGAATAAAAAGAAAAGAAAAATAAACGAAAAAAGGAACTGTAAATTTGCAGAATTTGCGCATGAGTTGAGTTTTATTTTCTGTAAATTGCTTTGACTGTTTTTTTTTTTTTTATTTTAACATAAATTAAAATTTTTGATGACTTCTTGTTAGTACAATTCGAAATGAAACCGTTAACATTATTTCAGTTCAACAGGTTTTTAATCATTAAAAGTAAAAAGTAAATAAAAATAAGCGTTATATATTTTTAATTTAAGGATCAAAAAACAATTTTTCAAATTTCTACCATTAAAATTACCAGTAAAATATTTCTGTGTGATTTCATAATATTAAAATAAATACAACAAGTTTCTTTTAGTTTAAATTTTACGCTTTTGAATTTTGCCTTTTCTTTTTTTTTGGAAATGTGCACTGTAAAACTTCAAAAGTTATGAAAAAATAAATAGTTAAAAAAATAAGCTAGAAGATAATTTAACTGATTTCTGTTGTTACAGTGGTTTCAGTCAAATTATTCAAATTTCGAATGGTATTAACATTTTCAAATATACCAAAATTTTTCGACAATAAAAATTTATACAAAACAAGTAAAAAAATAAAGCAACACGTTTTCTAGTTTCAGAGCGAATATTGTTAAATATGGTTCTTTCTCTAACAATGTACTTAATTTGTTAACACCTTGCGCTACAAAGTGTTAGTGAATAAAGTATTTAATATTTACCTGCTGAATGATAAGCTTTAATTTACAAAAAAGTTCAAAAATTAGTTTTTGAAAACACATAAATATTTTTTTCCAAAAATATTTTTAAAACATTTGCTTTCTGTTTGAATTTCGAAATCTAAACAGTAACACGTAGTAGCACAATAATTGCAAAAATTCCATATCTTTTAGTATAAAATTTAAATTTGAATAACATGATTGTATTTCAAAAATTTTATTGAAAACTATTTGTAAGGAAATGAAAAAACACCCTGTATCAAAAATGATTATGACTTTTTATTCTAAAACTCCAGACTATTAAATTCACAAATTTGAATTTTCTTTTACATCAATGAAAATTCTGGGAGATGAAAGTTTAATACACTATTTTTAACAATTAGTTAAAAAAAATATATATTTGTATCAAAATAATAAAAAAAAAATTTTGAATACAAAAGTATATCAAAATTTTTAGCTGGCTAAACTAAATAATTTTGATATTACCTAACATTAGTATTACTGAATACAAAAGCTACTGTCGCATTACTTTTGTAGTACGTTACTGAAAACTATACATTGTAGAAATACGGTTTTAATAAACGCCGCCATAATTCAAAAAGTTCTAAATTCAAATAAATGAAATTAAAAATTACAAAAGTACCATTTTATGACTTCTGTTTTAATTTTTAAATAACAAAAGCACCATTTTGTGACATTTGTGTTTTAAAAATAAAAAAAAATTTGTTGAATAACTTTTTTGAACTCAACAGCATAAATATATGTCTAATATCTACCAAATTTTTTTTCTTGAATAAATTCACAATGAAACATTAAATTTCTTTTTATATAAAATTGTAACTTCTAAATCTATAATTTGCATAGCCGATATAAAAGTCCAATAAAATTTTCGTATTTCAACAACTTTCTTAATATTATTATTACAAAAATTTTCCAAACAAATTTTTTAATATGCTTCCTCTTTAATATTTTTTTTACTCATTTTTAAAGAGATTTAAAAAATTTGTTTCTTCTTATTTAAAATTTTTCTAAAGAATTAGAATCCTTAGTGGACAAGCGTCAAATTCATACTTTTAGTTGTACTATTGTAAATTACTATGCAAACACTTTCCTTTTAGTTTTCATATCACATGAAATTCAAATCAAATCAGTTGAAATTATAAAGAAAATCAAAGAAAATTAAAAAAAAAAATGATAAAAATAATAAAAAATATCCAAGTAATTTATTACTGTGGTTGTCTTAACTATAATATTATGATGTCTCTTATAAATTTAACATTTCTATTTAAATGTAGAGAAGAAATGTTATACACAAACATATAACATTACAACTAAGTATAAGTATATGTATTATGTACGAGGCTTGTATAAAATATCCATAAACAATAAGATTTTATTTAAAATTTATATTATGTTTATAATAATGTCTTCTTATATTCGCCCATTTCCCCTTCATTTATGCGATCATTCCTATGTTAGTAATAATAAGGAACATTAATATTACAGTCAATTCTGAAATTCATATCAAAAAAGATTTCGAGCCCTACCATGAATTCCGTTCGTAACAATTTAAAGAGAACGGTCTAAGACGTACACTTTTTTGCAATAATCACAAACAATTTGTGATTATTCAAAAGTTTACGTCGTAGCTAAGTTCGTACTTCGTAGGGTTCAACGAGCGGAAATCATAATAGAACTGCTTGTACTTATATATTTTCATATGCCAATATTTGCATTAAATATTCAATAAATACGTATTTAAGTAAATTGTAAATTACAAAATTCTTAGCATCGTCTTTGTTACCCTACATACTCTTTATTGTTATTGGAAATATTTTGTTAATGCTACTTTTTGATTACCATCTTGACTATGAAATTTTATTAATGAATTCAGCAATTTTCCTTAGTATATATTTAGCCCTCGTAGGTACATGTTTATTGAAATAATTTAACGTTATTTTCATGGTTTTCTTTTTTGTAATAATCGCAATATAACAATTACAAAAAAAATACATTTGCTTGAAAGTAAAAAAAAAATGTCCATTTTCTCTGATTCTACTGAAGGTAATAATGTTACTACTATAACTCACTTGTTGCTTACGTATATTACAGGGGCATTTCTGTTTATTTTGTTTTACAACGATTATAAACCTATTCTAAATTCAACGATTATCTATTCTAAAATTCCGAAGTTCACTTAACTAAAAATCAAAAATTATAATATTATACAGAAGAGCTATTGCAGTGAAAAGTTTTACTCTGAAAATCATGAGATTGCAAATCCCAAAATGATTCTATATGTAGGAGTTTTAATGACGTATGAACATTTAAATTATATGTTATACAAAACACATATAATTATTAAACAAATTAATATCGTTTTACTGGAAATTTGAAAACAAATTTTTACACCTTTAAAAAAATTTTCTTGTTATTGTTTTCTGCTTTAATATACTGTAAATAGAGTTAGCATTGCAACTACCATAGACGCTTTAAATATTACAAGCAACAAACAGGCAAACATAAATTAAAAAAAAAATGAAAAAATGTTTTAATATTTTCCTTTATACAACATTTTTTTTTCCTTTAATTTATTATGTCGCTTTTCAGAAATTATAAAGGAAAGTCAGGGTAGGTACATAAACGTAAATATATTTAGGTGTACATGAATATATAAATATGCATATACATTTTTTTTGTTAGTACTTCAGGCAAGTGTACGGTTACATTATAATGATTATTTTTTTCTTTTATCCCTTTTTTGTTTTTTAGCTTACTGTCTCATATTTTACCCTTAGTCTTCATATAGTCAAAGTCAAATTCGTTTTTATTAATGAAAATTATAAGGATTTCTCAACATGTACGTATGTTGTACATAGACGTTTTGTTTATGCAATATATAAGTAATATCCATATAAATTGTTTATGGATATTTTATTTAAATAAATATAATACATTTATGTTATGTATGCATGTAAATTTTAATATAAAATATATTTATTTATATTTGCGTAGAAAAATTTCTTAATAATAAAAAGTAGTGATAATAGAACGAAATATTTACCCGAATGCCATTTACTGACGAATATAGGAAATTGCATATATCTAGGGGTTGAAAAAATGAAAAAATACTTATTTGGCCAAAAAAAAAAAAATATTTTCCTTATGTTAAGTAAGAAATATGTATCGTTAACTACAAAATCAGATATATAGGAAATATTTCTTAAAATATACAGATTTAATACTGCACCTACACAAAACTACCTTGTAAATTAACTTCCAACGCAACTAAACTCCGCAATTAGGTTATTTTTTAAATTTCAACATTTTTGCAAGAAAAAAACAAAAAATAAATTTTTAATAATGAATTTTTTTTAACAGAAAATTGTGAAAATTTCTATATTAAAGCTTGCAGACGTTTTATGAACAGACGGACAGATAGAGAGTAACTAATAAGTTTTGCCTACAAACTAGTAAACTATTTCAAATATTTATTAATACTCGTAGCAAGTGATTATTTTGATCACTGAATAGCAAGTGTCTATTTTGATCTTTATCAAAATTGAATACCGGTCAAAATTGAATATTCGGGATCTTTTATTAAGCGGTTCATCAAATTAGTAAGAATTTTGAAAAGCTCACGTCACAACTAAATTAAAACTGCATGCACAGGTCGATTCAGTATTAGATGCCAGTATATGTATCCCTTTAAGAGAACTAAAAATAAGCTGAATTGCCCTTTTGAACTAGGTTTTTGAGATAAAAAGATTTTAAAGTTCTAATCAAGATCCATTTTCGAAATAAGTTGTACTTTTTGAAATATATGCCGAAATTCACCAATATAAAGTGCAGTTTTTTAAGCGTCGTTCAAGCGACACCAGTACTAGTCTGTCTTTTATGCTAATTTTGATTCCGATCTGCATGTTAGATGCAAAACAAGAAAGTGTATACTTTAACAGGCTTTCGTGCCAAATTGAAACTGTGTGTCTCCAGCTGTCTACCTATGCAACTATCTTAAAGGCAGCAACTACCAATTTATATTTTAAATTTATCGAACAGCGACATGTTTTATTAAACTACAAAAATCCTTTAATTCTGCGCTGAAATAATTTTTAACATACCAATTAAAAGCTAAGTTTGCGTGACGTTTTAATAGCATATCTAACTCTCGTACAAAACGAATACTAATAGGCAGTTGTACAAAATTTTAATAATTATTAAAACTTACATTTATATACATATTAAGAGCTTCTTTTAAGTAAGGGAAAATAATACTCATTTATAATGGATCATGTGTGAATCTTCATATGTACACGTATCAGATACTAATATTAGGAATTTTATGTTAAAAATAATTTTCTTTTTTTTTTACTACTTCAACCCTAAGAGGAAAATAGTAATAGAATAGTAAAATAAAATTGTAACAAAACAATTAGTTATTAATAGGAATAATTAGTTATTAGTGTCTGCTAATTGTTCTAGTTTTGAATTTTGGAATTGGAACCGCAACTATTATCTACTTAATACACCATATGCAAATGCTTAAGTATCAAAATGTTGCTTTAAGTATGTCTTTCAAAAATAATATACAGTTTTTTAATTCACTTTGCTAACCGGATTATGTTTATTTTTTCTTGAGTTATGCCTTGGAATGTATATTTATTTATTTATTAAAATATTTTCATGCACATATATATTTTCTAATCAAAATAGGCATAACCTAAAGTCGAAATTTAATTTACCTATGCATATACATATATCAATATATATATACATATAGACATATTTTATGAAGAAACAAAAATGTAGATGCTCACTGCCCATAAAGTAACAATATATATTTATATAAACCTGCTTATATTAATGTTTAAAAAATTTAAATATATTTTTCCTATATAAGCATTGTTAAATCGTTTACTTGTTTTAATAAAATTAACTTACTCGTACGATTTTGAGGAGGCATTTGATAAGTCATGGTGAATATTTAACACCTGAAAATAAAAAAGTAAATTACAATTATGGTTGTAAAAATGTATACATTTCTTTAACATAAAAAAAAAAAAATAAAGGGTAATGCATATCTTGCACATATATAAATATGTGGGTACGTACGTACATACAAATATACACACATTCAAAATTATAATATACACTTGCACAATTAATTTAATGCAACCAGCTCATATAGCCATCCAAATGCCATTTTGTATTAAAATGTATGTATGCACTTTTCATCATATATACATATATACACATGTATATGGTGTACACAAATATAGATACTCAAACCATATATCCATACATTATGCAGTGTGTACATACATATATTTTATAGGAATATGAAAAAATGCAGACAAAATATTTAGCCCATTAATATTAATAGGCTAAATATTTTGTCTACCCATTTGTATACTCGCCATTATAAAAACCATTATTAAATAAAAATTAGAGCTGAAATGAATTATTTTCCTCGATTTGATATTTTCCATATAATCAAACATTTGCTTTAACAAATTTTTAGAAAGTTTTTTAAGAACTTAAATAATTTATGTTAGATATGTATGTACGTACTAAAAAAAAACCTGAAAACGCCATTAGGCACTTGAGTTTAACACCACACCCTCAGGGAAAAATTTGTTTTCATTAATAAATCTTATGAAATTAATGTTTTTTATAAGTTTAATTACCTCTGTCCCCTTTTAAAAATAATTTATATATTATTTTTCAATTTTTAAACACTCAATTTATAATTTTTCTTTTAATTTCTAATGCAACCCAATCAACAACTTTATTACTCACTTTTGTTAAATTGAAAAAATTTATGAGAAAAATTTATTTGTTTTGTTTTTGCATTCAGCATTGCCGCTTTAAAAAAATTTTATATGCCAACATTTTCAAATACAGGCCTAAACTTTTAAATTTTTAATATTTTCGAAAAAAGTTCTACGCCAAAAAAAAAAAATTAAACAAAGCATAAGAAAGACATGAATATGAGTAAAGAGAGTTAAGTAAAAAAGATTCTATGATAAATCTGACTTTATAATAAGTAATGTAGCCAAAATTATTTTTAAGTCATAAAAAGCCAAATTTTGTTAATATATTCTAAAGTGGCAGCACTTTCCGTATTTTGAAATGTTCAGCTTTTGCTGAATATAAAAATATATTAAAAAAACAATAAGTTTATTGGGATTACAGGCAGCGACATTTTATTGTAATTATTTTTTTTATTTTAATGGAATATATGTGGAATTTGTGAAAGTCCGGTTCGAATAAAATTAAAGGATTCAAATAAAAATGAAATCTACTCTGTGGTGTGAAATATTTTGCGCATATATCAATCAAATTGGTGTTTTCCTATAAAATTAATTCGTTACAAAACCAACTTCAATCGATAATACTTCTAAAGAGATTGTCAAATGAATATTGAATAATAAATATCCTTACTTCATTTTTCACTTTACTGTGACTGTAGAATCAAAGCGGCGAACAGCAACGGCGGACGTTTTCTGTGCGGAACACAAAACAAGTGCGGAACGGAAAAAGAATTTGAACAGTACTTTACATATGTAACACGATCATGGAAACTGATAATGTCAAAAAGAAACATTATTGGTAAGATAGGAATTTAGACTATTTAACTGCCGGCGATGAAATTCTTAGTACCCGTGGAAAATCGCTTTTGTTCTGCTTTCAACTTAAATGAGACGAGGCTTCTCATGAGATAGAATGGTTAATATTATAATGGATTACATTTTAATAAGTTGGTTTTCAAATGGAAAACAAAATTTAATTGATTTAAATTAAAATTAGAGCAATAATAACTTAAATGAAAATTATTTCACTCATTCAGTCAAATAATTTTCATTCCAATCCATTTGTTCTCGATTATTGAACGATGTGTTGTGAATAAAAAACTTATGAAATCAATATATAAATAGATGTCGCTGCTTTAAAATTTAAAAATGACATATGCCAATTTTGAAATATAAGAAAGCAACGGTTTTCAGTAGTTTCAAACTTAATTTCTTTGGGGATTGTTGTGTGTTGCTAGATTTTAATAAAAAGTTAATTACTGACTTTGTTTTACAGTTTTTAATTTAAATAAAAATCAGAGAAATAATTTGTAAGAATGGATACTTCCGCTCCTCCGAATTCAAACAAAAGTCGAAATGAAAAAACCAATCAAAATATTCAAGTATACGTACGGGTCAGGTATGAAAAACAAAACATGCGAATCTATTTGACAATGTTGATTTATTTTGATAACTTTATGATAGACCTGCAAACAATCGTGACAGAATGATACGATCACTGGATGTGGTTGATGTTGTTGGTACAAAGGAGGTTGTATGCCGGAGTTCTTTAGATTCAAAAGTAACCAAAAAGTTTTACTTCGATCGCTCATTTGGTCCAAATTCAAAACAATCTGATGTTTATCAAACTGTTGTGGCTCCTTTAATTGAAGAAGTATTAGCAGGTACATATACTTTAAAAAAATTAATAAATCAGAATGAAAAAAACATTGTCTTTTAGGGTATAATTGTACCGTGTTTGCCTATGGTCAAACTGGAACTGGAAAAACCCATACTATGGTTGGCTTCGAAAACCAACAAATGAAAGAATCTTGGGAAGATGACTCTTCAGCTGGAATTATTCCAAGGGCTTTATGTCATATGTTGGACGAATTACGTTTAATGAAAGTTGAATATGCTATGCGAATTTCTTATTTGGAATTGTATAATGAAGAGCTTTGTGATTTGCTTTCAACAGATGACTCCGTGAAGATAAGAATATTTGATGACAGCACTAAAAAAGGTTCAATAATAATACAAGGACTTGAAGAAGTCACAATCCATGGAAAAGATGACGTATATAAAATATTAGAGAGAGGTAAACAGTCAAATTAAAATTTTTATTCAGTTAACGTATTTTTTTTATTGAAGGGCAAGAACGTCGGAAAACTGCAACAACTCTTATGAATGCTCAGTCCTCGCGATCTCATACTGTACTATCTATCTTAGTACACATTAAAGAGAACGGTATCGATGGAGAAGAAATGTTAAAGATTGGAAAATTGAATCTAGTCGACTTGGCCGGTAGTGAAAATATTTCTAAAGCAGGTGAGCTATTTTGTACTTTTGTCCAAAAATGATCGTAGATATTTTTGCAAAACAACTAGAAAAAACAAATATAATTTATATTATTTTAGGGAATGAAAAAGGAATTCGAACCAGAGAAACTGTCAATATCAATCAAAGTTTACTTACTCTTGGGAGAGTAATAACTGCTCTAGTAGAACGTGCCCCACATATTCCGTATCGTGAGTCTAAATTGACCCGTTTGCTTCAGGAATCGCTTGGTGGACGAACTAAAACCTCAATTATTGCTACAATATCTCCTGGGCATAAAGATTTAGATGAGACTCTAAGTACGTTGGAGTATGCATTTCGAGCCAAAAATATTCAAAATAAACCAGAACTTAACCAAAAATTATCCAAGAAAACTGTTTTGAAAGGATATATTGAAGAAATAGATAGATTGAAAAAAGATCTTAATGCTGCGCGAGAAAAAAATGGTATATATTTAGATGAAGAAACGTATAATGAGATGAATTATAAATTAGAAGTTCAAAATAAAGAATTAAACGAAAAAATGCTGAACTTAAAAGCTTTGAAAGCTGAAATGTTGAAAATGGAGTCACTATTTACCGAAAAATTGCATACAACAGAAAAAGTTTTAAGCGAAACTAAACATGATTTAACTCAAACAAAAAAACGCTACAAAGAAAAAAAAATTTTATTGGACAATCACATTAAAACAGAAGAGAAATTGACAGACCAAGCAAATGAATTGATTAAAGTAGCAAAAATTGCAACGGAAGATCACCAACTATTGCATGACACATTAGAACGTCGTAAAAGTGTTGACACAAAGATTAAAAGTGTTGCTGAAGAGTTCAAAAATAAAATGGAGCACAACTTTAAAATAATGAATAAAGATTTCGAAAATTTACATGAAAAGCATAAATCAGTTTCAGAGGTTATCAAACTGGAAATTAATGAAAACACAAAACTTATAAATTCTTATATTAATGAGACAAAGTCAAAAGTCGATCAAATGGCTTCGTATTTCGAAAAAGTATTTGAACAGTTTTCTTTTCAATATGAAAAGTTTGAAAAACAAATTTTAGATGGCGATGAAAAACATTTGAATGCTTTCAGCGAATTAAAGAAAATTCAGGAACAAAAAGATGGCATATGGAGGAAAGAAATAAATAGTTATATAAATGACACAAAGCACATTTTGAATGAACAGAAATTAGCACAAGAAAGTAACGTAGCTTTAGTTTCAAAGTTTATTTTAGAAACAAATGAAAAAGACCGGGCATTTTGTAATGTTCTGAATGATCAACTTTTCAATATAGTCGAAGAAGCCCAAAGGACTATAAAGGCTGAGGTGGAGAGTGTTAAGGCTAACACGGAAAGAAGAAACCAACTGAATAAAAAACGAAGTGGTACGTCAAGATTTTTCACTGTTTGTAAAAAATTTAATAATTTAAAATATTTAATGTTTTTTAGAAATTTTATCTAAATTAATAGAACTCGAAAATGAAGATCGAGAAGGTATTGAAAAAATTGAAGTAATTTCTGAAAATTTGATCTCTGTGAAAGATGAAATTTCTTCGAAAATCAATAATAAGATTGAAAGAATTAAATTATTTGACAAAGAAAGAGAAGCTTCGTTTAAAATACTTAATGGTAAAATCGAAAATATTCAAGAAGGGACCAATTCGTATGTTTCTCAAATACATGATCAAGTTGAAAGGATTCAAAATTTAATATTAACAAATCAAAAGCAAAATTTAGAACATGAAACTAGCATGACAAATTTGTTTTTGGAAAATAAAAAAAATCAAAAAGAATTGGTAACTACTACTAGCAAGGAATTGACGAACGTCAAAAATAACTCTTGCTCCACGGTTAAAACACAGTTTAAAGAAGTTTCTAACACCATTTTCAAAAATCAGTCAGCTTTTAATGAATTTTCATTGGAAAATACATCAATGACGAAATCTTTTGTTGAAGCTGTTAACGATTATGCTGATGCATATTGGAATAATATGAATAACAATTTCCAATTATTTAATTTCTATCAAAATGGATTAAAAGTTTATAGTCCAACTGGGCAAACTCCGTCCAAAAGAGAATATACGTATCCGAAAGTATTAGCAAAAACATCACCACATTCAAATATAATAAAAAGATTTCGTTTAGAAAATGGTTACTCAGATCATGATATATCTAATATGACAATAATGGAGGACAACGAGAGTGTAATACCGGATATTAACGAACAAATGCCTAGAATATCGACTCCAATAAAATATTTAGAAAATTCTCCGAAGTCATTTAAATTAAACACACCATCATCACTAACAGAAAATAATCCTAGATTAATACACAGCTTAGATATATATGATAAAAAACATGGTACAGAGCTAAGAAAGTCACCTGTCAGCTTTCTGACAGAAAATAAAGAAAATGTAGAATAAAATTTTTAACAGGTTGAAAATATTTTTGTGTTACAAATTTACTAATTTTTAATTAACGGATGAAACAATTAACACATACAAATATCTCAAATGTGTATGATTGTATCATTAATTAATATTTTTGTAATTGAATATTTAGTTTTAAAGCTAATTACATGAACTTATACATACATATATTTTAAAATAAAATAAATTAAATCATAAAAATAGTCTAATAGTTTTCACTCCGATTTTAGAAACTATTAAGCTAACAGTATTCAAATTTTGAATAAACAAGTGCGATAATATAGCCAATATTCTAATAAAATGTGATAGTATTTGCATAAGTGCTTAAAATTACTACCATTCGATTAAAAAAAAATAGCGTATCTCAGAACTCTTTTAAATTACAATAATTGAACTTCGTACGAATAAGTTCAGTAACACTTTTAAAAAAAAATTTTAGTCTTAATTGTAAATAGCTTAGTCAACTGGCATAAAACATTTGAAAAACTAAGAATATTACAAAATTGACATTGTCAATTCTCTTTTCTAATTTTACTTAAAACTCCAAAACTAGAATTTCGCTTTAGGATTTCACAAAACTCGAGTTTAGTAAATTTACACTCTCAATATTTTTAGTGTTTCACTAGTTTATAAGCTTTTAACAAAAATATTTAAGTGGGTACAGAAATCAAATAGCGAAATTATAAACTGATAGTTGAGTCAATATTTTTTTTTAAAAATTGAAAAATAGAAATTTCCTTTACAAAAAATTTAATAAAATGATAAAAATTTAATAAATTTCGTTCTATATTTTTTATAGAAGATGTTAATTTTATAAAATTATGTACTTCAAAATTAAACTAGCATAATATTACTATGCTAGTTATATAAAGATTTTGAATAATATGCTATCTAAGACATAATCGGTTTTTAATTCTTTTTTTTACATAAACCATAATATTTAAAATTATTTTTTTAAGCAAAATAATTTCTGATTATAAACTATAACAAAATCATCAATAATAAATATTCTTTTGAAATATAATTGAAATTTATATATATATGTACGCATGTATGTACACAATTTTTTATACATATAAATGAAAATTAAAACACCCTGTAAATACACCTTAATATAACAGTTTTTATTATATATTTATTTTGTAATATTATATAAAAAGGGGGTTTATTGAGATTGCGCATTATTATCTTCTATTTTCGTTTCCCCTTAATTAATTACTTTGAAAGGAACTGGTAATAAGTTTTGAGTACAGAAATCCAACAAGTGGAAATTTTCTTTTTCTTTTTTTTCATGATATAGGTACATTCGTATGTATTTTTATTTTTTTAAAACATATACGATCTTGATGTTCGTATAAATATATGCATTGGTATACTTTTGATATACATATGTATATGTATATAATTAAGTGTTTCCATAAAAATATAATTTTTAAGATAAACAATATTAATGTACACAAATAAGTATGTATATTCCTACAGGTTTAAATACTTTCATACATTATTAGATCTATATAATATCTGTATCTATATAATATATTTTTTTTGTAATCGGAAATGTTTGAGTATTTTAATATTGATAAAATATAATAGTTTATCAATGTAATTCAAGAGCAAATAAAAAATAATTAAGAGTTTACGTACTTTAATGTTCGTATGCCTGAGTACATATTATATATGTACATATATACAGGAAAATAGAATTAAATGTTTAAGAAACAGGAAAAAATTAATTATTTAAGCTTTTTTTATGAAACATTAGTACACATTAGTGCATACATATATATGTATTTGTCACAATGTTTATCGAATTTCACTTATACTCTTTTTTAATTGAGATTTTGACCCTAAAAAATTCATAATGAATTAAATATAACATGTAAAATTGAATCAAATCTAAAATAATTCAACAAATAATTCATTGTAAAATAATTCATTGTTACAAAATTATACATATGTATGTACATATGTATACTAACTCCCTGCTATTATAGAAGTAATTATTGTCAAGAAATAAGTTGTAAATAAATTATTGTTGATTTCATGTAAGTACATAATATGCTGAACATTGCCGCGACATGCGCTCGCTTGAAAAATTCTTCTTTTTCTAACAAATTACTAGTGTAGTATTAACTTAGAATTAAATTTTCATAAATACTGTTATTGCCATTAATTTTATTAATTATTAAATTGAATGGGCTCTTATTTATTTGTTTATAGGAAGTAGAAAAATGTTTGTAATATTAAAAACTTACCTATGTCCAACTGCCGTCTTCACAGTCTTTTGGTGTAAAAAATTTAAATTTTTTGATAATTTTAATTTAATTTTTATCTGTATTTTTTCCTAGAACATCTATAATAGCTAAATAAATTAACAATAATAAAAAAATTGTCCCAGTTTATAATTCTATATTCTACCTTCATTCATATATACAAAACAATAATTAAACAAATTTACGGGAGACAGAAAAAATGGTCTAAAATCTACAAACTAGACTATTATAATCATATTATAATGCAGTAATAAAAAAAAACAATTTTTTTTCTTTTTAAAAAGTTAGTAATAATATTTGAAATGTTTTCGGTGGTAAAATCTTTAGATGGTGTCTTATGTATGTAAATGAAGTATTACATTAGTATTATATAACAATATTATATTTGTAATAAATACAAAACGAATTAGCTTACCTATGTATTAAACAGTCGAATATCGCATAATATGATGTTATGCTACATAACCTAGACTCTTAGAGTGTTGTTACATCAATGCATTAAATTTATTTACCAAATAACGAGTATGTATAGCGAAACATTCTTGCTCGTAAAGAAGTATTTATAAATAGTTCTATACGCATTTCCCACCTAAAACTGCCAGGGAAAACTTTTTTGAGAAAAAAAGATTCTATTAGAGTATATGGTGTATAATATATCAAAATTGTATTTTTGGGCTGCAAACAATCTTCTATATTCCATTGTATTCAAAGATGAATTTTGTGTATACCACGATCCTAATATAATTAAGAATTTTTTGATTAACATTATTTTATAGTTTCTCTTAGCACTTAAAATTCAAATTAATTGCATTGAATTATAGGAGACTTGACTGTGTTTAACTACCTTGTATCTTTATCATACGACTCTAAAAGTAAAAAAAAATATAGCTAAAATTTTCACAATCGCTATAATGAAAAAATTTTTAAGGTGAAAATATTCGTTAAAAATGTTTTAAGAATAAATTACAAGCAAAACCGTTTTTAATTTTAAATTTTCTTCCCAAAAGAAATTTATTAAAGGAAATTTATTTATTTTATTTTTCCTTTTTTTTTATTCATAATAATTAACTTGTATTTTACAGGTAATTAAAATTATTAGATAATTATACCATAAATTAGATTGTCGCCTTCTTTTTATTTTTATGTGTAGAAATTGTGGGGAGAAATTTATTTGCTGTGAAAATATAAAACTTGCTTAAAAAATTTTTTAATTTTTTCTTCAATTTTTACACACCGCATTGCATAAAATAAGAGATGTTAAGTAATGGGATCAAATATAGCATATCGTGTTTTATTTAACTATTTTTGAGAAAATAATCAGTGAATTTGCTTAAAAATTTTATATACAGTTGACAATACCACAAGCCACTTAACTTTTTGAGGAAATCAGGTGTTAGTAAGCGCAGTTCTACTATACGAGCCGAATTTACATTTTTGTTCCTATAAAGAGAAATGATCAAAAAATTTCTTTGAAATTTAATATATGAATTAAAGGTGTTTAAACAATTAACAAGGTATTAAACTAGTAAATTTTTTGGTCCTAAGCAGAATTTTAAATGAGGGCATAATGACCGATTTTACATATTTGACTATATCTCAGAAATTAATTGACGAAATTTCTCGAAATTTAATATTTGAGTTATAGTTGTTAATAAAATTACCCGGAAAACTTTTCAGGGAAGCCAATTCCTATTTTTCTTTCACAAAATTTAAAATGAATATTCATAGAAAATTTTTATAATCTTACGCAACACTTTAGAAATGCAGTCGATTTGTGTTGGCCACATCAGACTTGAAAAAAATTATAAAGAGTTTTCTAATATAATATTTTATACCGGCTTATAAAAATCATTATGAATTTTATAGCCTCTATGTTAGGCTCGATTCTTGTACTTTAATTTAACGTTGCATTCCTTTCATTTTTAATAATCAAATAATTTTAATATATAAAATTGTCAAATATCTATACATAATTTAAATATCAAATGGGATGTTAATAATAAAATGTTAAGGGAGTTGCTATGATCTATAATGAGTCATAAATATCTTATTTAAAACAAAATTGAACTGCACATGTATGAATTTATTCATATACTTAAATCAAAATATCTGCCTAAATTACATTGGGGACTTTTTCTAAAAATTTGAAAGCACAGAGTATGTACACATGCATCATATAGCCTATGACATTCAAAGAAAAATTTAATATAAAATTTTTAATGAATTTAGACAAAAAAAAAATGATTCGATAAAGTTTACCGTAGAAACGTAAGTTAATAAAAAACTTTTAATTTTTTATATAATAAGAAAATAAAATGAAAAATAATCAAGAGAAAAATTTTCCATTTCAATTATTTTCGTAGCTATAAAAATTATTTTTCAATTTATTTATATAAGAGATAATTTTTTTGGTGAACGGGTGATTTGGACGTTTCCCTCAATTGTTGTTAATGCCAAATCGATCGAATATGGTTTGAAGTTTCATAATATAGAGATTCAGATGAATATCATATTTTCTTTAAAAGTACGTGAAATCTGTGGTTTAAATTGGCAATTACATTTTAAAATTATTAAATTATTTCTAAAAAAAATCATTTTATTTAAAAAAATAAATTTATCTAAAAATTACATTTTTTTGGGCATATTGAATTTTTAATTGATCGACATAATATAGTGTCTCAAAAGTTGACTCCTCAAATAAAACATGAAACACTTTGGTTAACATTTCTATGATATTGCAATAAGAAGGAAGGGCGCAACATAAGAAAATCAAATGATAATTACACGCAATTGAAAATTTTAAATTTGAAATTTGATGATCAATTGAAAATCAGCCACTTTAGTTTC